CAGGCCACCCCCACCATTTGCAGATTCACCTGCTATTCAAACATTTATTCAACAGCATCTCTGAAAGGCCTGCTAGGTGGTGAGCACTGAGTCTGGGACACTGCTTGACCGTGGGCCTCAGCTGAGCCTGCCTGCGGCCGTCTGTGCTGGCCGAACCTGGCTTGGGCAGGTGGTGAGAGGGCAGCGTGATTTGTGGACAAAAAAGGAATTTCAAGCAGTTACTGTGGTTCAGGCTCAGATTTGCCAGTATTTCTGCTATGATTCCAAGAGCAAAGGCTTTGGAGTTGAGTGACATGGGTTCTAATTCCATTGCGGTCCTTGTCTAGCTACGTAGCCTTAAGCAATCACCTCACTTCTCTGAGCCTGTTTCCTTATGTATCAAATGGTTCTGGTAATATGTACCTCTCAGGATTGCTGGAAAGATCAGGGACAATCCTTACGTGTACTTAATGTCTACATTAAGCATAATGCAGGGACCTGCCAGGATAAGTGCCCAGGCCCGCCAGACCAAAGCCCAAACCACACCCAAGATCTCGCCAGATTCAGAAAGCTGATACCGAGACCAGTGGCCTGACCCCACTGTGCCATACCAGCCCCATTGTCATTGCTGTGGGGTTTGGTTTGTTCTTTTCCTTCTAAATCACAGTTGACATACAATATTGTATTGGTTTCAGGTATACAGCATAGTGATTAGACATTAAATAACTTATAAAGTGATCACCCCAAGTCTAGTGCCCACCTGGCACCATACATAGTCATTATGGTATTGTTGACTATATTCCCTACGCTGTGTTTTACATCCCTGCCTTTGCCACTGATGTTGAACCAAAGGTAACCCTCCTTGGAATGGGCTCCTAAAGAGCACCGAGTCCCGCCTCCTCACTGGACAGATCAGGAGACTGAGCCTCAAAGAGGGCAGATGTTTGCTCAAGGCCGCACAGCATGGTGGTGGCTGAGCCAGCACTGGAACCCAGCCTCATAGTATCAAGCCATTTGACCATCTGGAAGACTAAAAATAATGTGCCTAAGAGTATGGGCTTCAGAGGAAGACAGATGGTTTGTGTCCTGGCCCTGCACCTTCAATTCATTCAACAAACATGAGTATTCACTGAGTCTGTGCCAGGCGCCATGCTCGGCGCAGGGGGCTCAGGGGGACCAGATCCGCATGGCTCCAGCTCTCTCGCAGTCTGGCGGGAGAGGCAGTGCACAAACAACCGATGAATAGCAAGCTCATCGCCCACTGTGAGAAGGCAACTAAGGACATGCGGGGCAGGGCCCTGAGAGTAACAGGGACCGGGAGGCCGGGAGGCCCCCTCAGAACAGTCGGGGCGGGCCTCTCGGGAAGGGGCCATCTGAGCTGGGACCTGGATAACAAGACGCAGTCATGCAGGGACTGGTGAAGGGCAGTCAGGCAAAGAGCTCAAAGTGATGAGAAGAAATGAGGTCAGAGAGAGGGCGAAGGCCATCCCAGGCAAAGCCTCCAAGGTCAGGGCCAGGAGCTCAGCTCAGCTTTTACTCACAGAGCAGTAGGAGGTCACTGGAGGGTCTGAGCAGGCGAGTGATGTTACCTGGCTTTTTTTTTTTTTTTCCCAAACGACCACTTTGGCTGCTGCTATTTGTGGGACATTTGGTGGCTCTGTGACCTTAGGCAAGTTGCTTAAGCTCTTGGAGCCTTGATCTCTGTAAAATGGGGATAAGAGAACCTGCCTCACAGGCGTCATTGGAGGCTAACATGACAACACACACACAGCTCTTAGCATGTATTGCAAGTGCCCAATAAAGCTTTGCTGTTTTACCTCACCAGGGCCGAAGCCCTCGTCCTCTACCAACAGGACGTAGCTTGGTCTGACCCTGCTGAAACCACACGTCCTTCCAATGCAACCCACACAGCCCAGCCTCCCATTGCCCTGACAGTACCACAGCCCGTGGCTCTTCTTTCTTCCATTTCCCAGACCAGGCCCGGGAGGCTCACCGACGGTCCTGCCTCAGCGCCCCCGCGAAAAGGAGGCCCTCAGCCTAAGGGCTTCGGACACCAAGTCCCTGCTCTCTCCACCACATGGCGAGGTAGGTCCTGCCTTGGCAATGATGCCACTGTTTGGCATCTGCACTGCCCTCAGACGGGGGGGTGTCCATTAAGCTCTTGTCCGTCAGAGGTCAGCCAGGGTTGGTCAGCAGGATCCCGGTGACAGGGAGGCAGCCAGGGCCTGCTCTCAATTAAGGCCTTGCAAATGGCCTGAGCATCTATCAAAGTCACGGCTCCATCTCCTGGGTGCGCAGCATATATAACATGTCCCGATCAGAGGCCGACGGGGAGGCCGGGAGAATAATTGCTTGGCAGGTTCCTACAGCCAGATTTATTATGACAAACAAATTCAGCCCCTGGCAATGCTAGGCAGCTGGCCCGTCCACGCTCACGGAAATCCTATTTGCTGGCATTGAGTGGGTAGAGGCTTCCACCCCACTCCAGCTGGGCCCGTGGCCCTGGGCAGAGCCAGGCTGGACCATTTGTCTTTTTGTGCTCTAGGCCGCCTGTCCAAGAGGCTACCACCTCTAACACATTTCACAGCATTTGAAAATCGGCGCCCAGGCCACAAATTACTCATTTGGTGTTGCACCAAGTGATTCTCTGGCTTCTGACATCACCCAGATTGCCCATAGAGCAAGGCGGTTAAAGGCCCAGGCTGTGGAGTCAGTGTAAACATGGGTTCAAATTCAAGTCCAGACTCTGTCATGTACTGGCTATGACGCTGGGTGAGTAAACTGCCTCTCTGAGCTTCCATTTCCCCATCTCTGAATGAAGGAGGAGTTACCTCTCCTTTAAAGAGCTGTTGTGTGAACTAAGTACGAGATAAAGGGTACAAGGCATTTAATACAGTAATAGGTGCTAAACGAAAGTGATGGTGATCATCTTTATTAACCAAGGACTCCAGTATAATATGAGATGGCATTTATGAAGGGACAGTTACTATGCCAGTTCCTTTTTTTTTTTTTTTTTTTTGACCATGCTAGTTTTTTTAAAACATGTTTCCCTCTAAACTTCACAACCAATCCTACAAGTAGGTATTGTTGTGTTGATTTTCTAGATTAGGAAACAGGGTGGTTAGGGTGCTTGAGCTGGTAAGATGTGGAGCTGGGGGTGGGATGCTGGCTTGCTAGTTCTGGAGCTGGCGCTCCTCCTAATACACAGCCTACCTTCCCAGCTCCTCTAAAAGGCCATGGAAGGCGACTGGTCAGACAGACAGGCACAACCACACTCCCTCCTTCCTTCCCACCCCATGCCAACATTTCTTGAACATCAGTTCCAAGCCCAATGGATACAATAAAGATGAACAAAGAAACACTTCCTGCCCTTGAGGAGCTCAATACCTGATGGGAGCACACTGTATACACACTGCCGAGAACACATGTATCAGTTAGCTTTTGCTGCATAACATATGATCCCAAAATGTCTTAGTTTAAAAGAAAGAACAATTTATTATCTCTCCCAATTCTGGGGATTGCTTAGACAGCTTCTGATATGCGTAATCATACAGCAGCACTCACTTGAGAGGTTGGCCGGGCTGGAAGGCCCAAAATGGCCTCATTTGCAGGTCCAATAGCTGGTATGCCCCATTCACGGGTTGCATTGGTTCTTCTCCATGTGTCCTCAAATCTTCAGGTAGGCTGAACAGGTTTCCTTATGTGGCAGAGTTCCAAGAAAGCAAAGTAAAAGCTGCAATGTTCCTTGAGGTCTAGGATCCAGAACTCACTTGACATCACTTATGCCACATTCTATTGGTAAAAGTAAGCCACGTTCTGTTGCTTAGCCAGTATCTGACATACATTTATGACCCATCATGTAAGGCTCAGCGGTCAGTTCAGAATGAGTATGAGAGGGTTAGTCTAGTTAAGTGGGATTCTAACTAATAAATGTTTAATTCAGCTTAAAGGACACTGCTGAATTGTGGTTGTTAGAATGGGTCATATCCTTTCTAGCAGCCCCCACCCTTTTTGGCACCAGGGACCAGTTGTGTGGAAGACAATTTTTCCACGGACTGGAGTTGGGGGGGGATGGTTTTTGGGGGGGGATGATTCAAGCATGTTACCTTTAAGCTCACCTCTTGTTGTGTGGCCCAGTTCCTAACAGATCACAGACTGGTACTAGTCCATGGCCCAGGGGTTGGGGACCCCTGCTCTAACCAATGGCAAAACAGAGGCACAGAGAGTCACCAGGGAATCAGTATATCACAGAGCGAGTCTTCATATGAAGAAACTGAGCCCCCAAAACAGGGCCTGTCTTGCCGAAGGTCATAGAGCAAGTCTGTGAGAGCCAGGAGTAGCTCAGGTCCCTATCAGCCAGCCCACTCCTCCTCATCCCCCTGCCTCCTCCCACTGCCCCCCTGGGGAAGCCTCAGGCTGGGAATGGGCTGCACCTGGGCAGCAGGGCGCCGTCCCCAGATGTGTGTCTCCTCTCTGCCGTATGTCCATAAACAGCCCTTTCAACATACCTGGCACCATGCAAGGCACTTAATCATGATGTCTTCTGATCCTAACAGGATTGCCCACATTTTTCAGGTGGGAAACCAAGGACCAGGAAGGGAAGCTGACTTGCCACCCAGGGTTTCGCAGCTGATGGAGCCCATCTGTCTGATACCAAGGCCTGAGCCTCCCATGCTGCCCCCAAAGGAGCTTCACCCAGATCCAGGTCCCCATGGGTGAAAGGCAGCTCTGTGACCCACAAAAGTCTTAGGACAAAGCCCTCTGCCTGAGGAAGTGCCCCAGGGGCCTCAGAGGAGGCAGCAATAAGCCAGAGTCTTTGGAATCACCTCTGCAAATGGAAGGACCCTGAATGATGCTCTGGTCCACACCTCCACCATTTTAAAGATGGGAAATGGATGCTAGACCCGCACCCGGGCCTCTGACTCCCAGTCCAGGGCCCTCCCACTGCTCTGGGAGTCTAGGGCAGGTGAGCAAGCCCCGCTCAGGCTGGTCAGACACACACAAGGCTGCTCTGTGGCATTCAGAGAGCACATTTATTTACAAAGCACTTTACAAATATCAGCTTATGCCTCCCCACAGCCCCCTGCGAGGTAGGTCAGTAGTCATATCTACAGTTTACAGACGGGGAAATAGAGGCACGGAATGGGGGTGTGGCCTGCCCCATTTTAACAAGAGCTTCCCACCCACACATCAAAAAATAAAATAAACAAAAAAGCATTGATCCTCCATCCCAAAATAAACCTTCTTCCTCTGAACTCTAAGGGTTGCAAGCAACCCTGGTCTAACAGTGCCCTCTCCCCGTCTGGCAGCCTGATCAGGAGCCACAGGAACCTCAACCCCAGGGGCTGTTGTTCAGATTGTCACTGGCCCAGGCTGAGCAGGACCTGGCCGGTGAGGCCAGAAAGTTATAGGCAGAGGGGACTAAGGTTATGTCTCATTCTGCAGACATTGGGTCAGGCAGGGAAGGGGCCCCACATCGGACACGGTAGGGATGGGCAGATCCTGGTTCAGGGAAGCTCAGAGCACATGTCAGGGAAGCAAAAGTGGGAAGGATCATGACCAAAATATCCCAGGGGCCGCAGGGGGCAGCAGGTGGAGGGGGATGGGGCTGAAGTTTCCCCTGGGGAGCCTCAGTCTGATGTGCCCACTAGCAAAGCAGGGCAGAACCCAGTCCCCCCGGGGCCCTCAGGAACTGGGCCAGACGGGATTCCAGATGCCAAGGCCCAATGTACTCTGAACTCATGTCAAGCCATGCTGGGCGGAACCCCGGCCTGGTACACACTCCACCAAGGGCTGGGATACAGTCAAGGGGCTGAGCCTTGGGCCCCTAGAGCAGGCAGTTCTGAGCCCCGTCCCTCTGCCAAGCAGTACCAGGCCTCTCAGCACAGGCCAGCAGGACCCTGTACAGGTGGGCTGGGCTACAGTCTTGCTAAGCTGCTCCTTGGCCCCCAGCCTGCCCATGGTACATGGCAAAAGGCCCTGCCCACCGCGGAAGGCAGCACCGAGATGGCCCGTCATCCGCTCCAGTGGTCTCCCTGTGGGGGCTGGGGTTGAGCAGAGTTGGGGATGCAGGTCTTCCTCGTCAGTCCAGGATGACGGGCCTGGCCCTGAGTGCACAGTGGGTGCTCCAGGCCAGGGGCCCCTGCTATCTTGACTCCAGCCCCTCCAGGTACTCCAGGGCCATATCATAGCAAAAGTGGTACTGATCCTGGGGAGAGGGAGAAAAGGAACCATGAGGCTGGCCCCTCTCTAGTACCGGGGGAGAGGGGGCAAGCACGAGACGTGACCCATCTTTGAGGAGAAGGGGAGGAAGTGGGGGTAATGTTTTGGCACCACAAGATTAATTGTGGGGAACCCAAAGTCCAACTGTGGGGACCAGATATCGGAGAGTGGGTGCTGAGGGGCCTGGCTGGACATGAGCCAGGAAATTGGAAGTGGCACAGGGAACATGACATCTCACCAGGGTCTCCACCATATTGGGTTTGTAATTCCTAAGTGTTTTGGCAGCAAAGAAAACATCGACCAGGTTGTGGCAGCGAATCATCTCCAGGACCGTGGAGCAGGCGCAGAAGGTACCGCTGCGGCCGCCCCCATTTCTAAACGAGAGACAAGAAAGGTTTGGGGCAGGGCTCGGGGTAGGAGGACCAACTCCAAGGTAAAGGGCAAGGCCAAGGTCTGGGAACCTGGGGGGCGGGGGGTGGGGAGGGGCCAGGGAGCCCAGAGGTGAGCTGCAGGAGCAGGTTAAGGGGGCGGAGTCAGATGCTAAGACTGACATCCCAAGCTGAAGGTATCTAGGAAGACAGAGCATCCAGGAGACACAGCAGATTCTGAGAGAAAGGAGGAAGATTACTCCAAGAGGAAGACGTGAGACGGGCAGCAACAGAGGAGGGCCATGGGCAGCAAGCAAAACCCGGAGAGCAGGATGGAAAATGAACACTGAGAGTACCAGTCACCCCCACCCCACAGGTACAAACAGGCACATTCGAGTCAAACACAGCCTGTCTCCACGCCTCTCCCTCCTCTGTTCCCCGTCATTCAGGGCGTGAGGTACCCCTTGGGAGATGAAGGACTAGGCAGGCCCTCAGCCCCAGACTCTAGGGGTCTCCCCCACTAGAACTGAGAGCCCCTGAGAGCCAGGCAGGCCTGCTGGACTCAGCTCCCTGTCCCTGCACCCAGCACACCCAGCCCCGCACTGGGAAGGGCCAGTAAGTCCGGAAGCATGAAAATGTCGGGAGCAAAGCAGTGACTGCACCCAGACATGAGTGAATACATGAATTATGAGTGGAGCCTGTGAACGAATGAATGAACGAGTGAAACAAGTTACATGTGAGCACTCATGAACGAAGACCAGAAATCCTTTGGCTTAAAAAGTATACTACAGGATCGTGGGACTCTGACAGGACTCTAATTAAATTGGTCACGTCAACATCACACAGAGAGTACTGGACAGTTCAGGGTTAAATCTACACCCTGGGACTGACTAGGATACCCCAGGGCAGGCAGGGTCGGGCCATCCGGGAGCCCAGGGGCTCTGGTGCCAGTCCTGGGGCCCCCCAACACTGGACTTTCGTCCCTGGCCCGTGGGCTCCCCGACCCCTCCTCCCGCCCTGCGGCAGGACCAGCACTCACAGGCAGTGCACGACAGTGCGCCCGTCCCCGCTCTCCGCCTGCCACTTGTCCACCTCGGCCAGCAGGTGCAGAAAGGCCTTCTTGGAGTCAGGCGTGTCCCGGTACGCAGACCAGCGCAGGAACTGGAAGTGCCGCACCAGCAGGTGCCCCTCCTGCAGCTGGGGGACGGGGCGGGTGGGCAGCCAGCGAGGGGGACGTGAGCACCAGTTATAAGGCCCCTGATGACCTCAAGGTCATTACAGGCCATACCGTGACCCCAGTTCTCACCCAGGGCTCCCAGGTCACTCACCCTAGAGATATTCTGTACCCGGAAGACACGGGCCACCAAGTCTTCGTCCGCTGTGCCTGACACAAACTCCACCTCCATGAGGCCGTACTGCTGCCGGCCCGGCTCTGGCCAGTACTGCAGGCACGGCTGGCGGCACGAGCATGGAGTCAGGAGCTGAGCAGAGGCCCTGGCGGCTGCCACTCAGCCCACCCCGAACCCCACACCTGCCCTGGGGCTCCCACACCCCCTGGCCCACCCACGCACTCCGGACTCATCTTCAGAGCTCCCCACTCTCCACACTCACCCACGAGCTGCTGTGCACACCTCCCCGGTGCAATCTGCACAGACACACTCGGGTCAGCTCAGACAAACCCTTCAGAGCGGGCGCACTGACGCGCGCTGCCGAGCCACTGTACAGCCACACCTAACACGCTCACGCTTACTCACGAGCACACACACCTACACAAGGCTGCCTTTTCCAGGGACAGGCCTCCGATCACCCCCGCCCCGTTCCAGCACCCCCACTCCCTGGTCTTCTCTCACTACTTCTGCCTTTTGGCATCAGCTCAGAGTAGGTATCCCTGATGGTGCAACACAGCTCAGCACCTGCCCAAGGCCACTCCATGGAGTAAGGGTCCTAAATGTATCCCCCTCCAGGCCATGGACTCAAGACGGCAGAGGGACAGAGGAGGCATGGCCACCACACGCATACATACACGAGTCCACCAGTCTAGTGGGTCCCAGGCCCCAGCTTCTAGTCTCAGCTCTTCCTTTGTCTGGGCCCCAGTTTCTCCATCTGTGAAATAGCCCCCAGCCCCTCCCAGACAACAGCAAGCCCCGTCTGCTTCCCTCTCTGATGACTTCCCGCAGGGAAAGGGCGCTACCTTCCTCTTTTTGTCTGGGATCGTGGCAGCTGCTTGCATTCAGGCCTTTCCACATGCTGCTCCCTCTCCATGGATCACTCACCTTCCACTTCTTCATCTAGTTACCTCTACCCTTCCTGCGCACCTGCGTTCACGTAGCGCCTCCTCGAGGAAACCCTCTCTGATACATTATCCCACAGGCTCCTGTGTCCCTCTGCTGCCTCTGTCGGGTTTTGTACCTGTTTCCCCCTGGACTGTGAGATCTGGGAGGGGTGGTGTGTTCTCTCTCTGTCTCCCCAGCGCCCGATGCAGGGCCTGGCAGGGAGCAGGCTGTAGTAAAGGGTGGCTGAATGAATGAGCAAATGGGCGACCTATGTGAATGATGTCGGTGTGAGCCTCCCTCTGGGTCCCTCCCCTCCACCTGAGCAAGGGCAGACACGATTGCCACATGCGATTCCCGTTAGATCTCTGCCCAGGGACTGAAGCTCGTTACCCTGCAGTCCCAGGTCTTTTATACCAAGTGCCTGACTCATGAAGGGCCTGGGGAACAAGTCTTCTCCAGGCAGCCACTAGGAGGATGTCATGCTCATTGTGTAGCAAATCCTCCTGGCCTCCTGGGACCGCGAGCTGGGGAGGGAGAGGGCACAGAGATCTAGGGGATATGGCCATGAGGGGCTGCAAGGCTGGGCACCTGCACTTCCCAGAAGCTTCAGTTAGGGGAGCCCCAAAAGCAAATGGGGCAGTCCCTCTGGCTCAAGTCACTGAGCCAATATCTGGACCAATCTCAGAAGCAACTGTTGCCCTCATCACCTTCATCCCTGCCGTGTACTGAGAGCCCGCTGTGCACTATATGTGGCCAGTGCTAAGCTCCTACGTTCATCTGACATGGTCCTGACAATAAGCCCGTGACAGAACAGGGGCTACAGGGGTCCCCATTTCACAGAGAAGGAAACTGAGGCTCAAACAGTTTCCTAGGTCGCTCAGTCAGAGAGGAAGGCAGCTGGAAACTTGCTCCTCCTCAAAGGCCCCCATGATGGGCAGTTTACTTCCGTGACTGCAAAAGCAGAGGCTCTGGAAGGAGGAGCCCAGAGGAGGGGACACAGCTGTGACCTTGGAGAAGTTGTTTCACCTCTCTGGGCCTTAGTTGTCTCACCTGAAGCCCATAAGTGCAAAGCAGAGCCCCTGACACGTAGCAAGTATTTAATAAAAAGCAGCTGTTTTTCTCTAGCCTGGCAACCTCACTTTACAGATAAGGAAACCCAGGCTCTGCGAGGGAGCATGACCTGTCTAAGGTCACTCAACAAATAGATGGCAGAGCTGGGATCCAGCCCCTGACTTTCGGGGTGTGCCCTGGAATGCGTGGAGGCCCTGGGCAGCAGGCAGGCAGCGCGCCCAGCAGGCGAGGCCCTCACCCAGGCGGAGTTGGACTGGTGCAGCTGGTTGAGCATGACGATGGAGGTGCACCCGTAGTCGTAGACCAGCCGCCAGAAGTCGGGCGTGGTGCTCTGCAGCGGGTGCAGGGTCACGATGAAGGCAGCGCTCCGTGTGTAGCTCTGCAAGGAAACCAGGACTCAGCAGGGCATGTTCGCCTCCACGACACAGCCCGACCCCCCGCCACAGGCTGACCCTCTCCCCGCTGCCCTTGCAGCTGCGTCCCACGGGACCAGGCTGCCTCCGCTGGCCCTTTCACAAGCTGGCCGGTACACCAAGGCCTCTCTAGGGCCCAAGTCCATGGCTCCCAGGAACTAAACAGCAGAAGGTTCCCAAATGTGGGGCAATGGAAGCCTAGGCCTGGTAGGCAGAGCCTGGTCGAGCTTGCTCCCTGCCTCAGGGCCTTTGCATCTGCTATTCCTGTTGCCTAGAACAAATTTCCCAAGTGTTTCCATTGCTTTCTCCCTCACTTCCTTATGGTCTTTGCTTAATCACCACTTTCTCGAAAAGGCCCTCCTTAACCCTTCATCATAAAGAGCCACACACAGCTCTGGCTGGTGTGGCTCAGCTGGCTGGAACATAGTCCTGTGGACCAAAAGGTTGCAGGTTTGATTCCTGGCTGGGGCACGTACAAAAGGGCAACAGATCCATATTCCCTCTCATATCAGTGTTTCTCCTTCTCTCTCCCCCTCCCTCTTTCTCTAAAAGCAATGGGAAAAAAATGTTCTCAGGTGAGAATTAAAAAAAAAAAAAAATAGCTACACACACAGGCCTCCAAAACTCACAATAAATATTTCTTCTGCCTAGTTGACTTTTTATAGAAATTACCAGCATCTGTCATTCCTTTGCATATTTGTTTAATAACTGTTTCAGCACATTCCCCAAATGCAAAGTTCAACAGATCAGAGATTTTGGAGTGTGGCCTGTACTCAGCGGCCCATTCCTACCCAGGGCCAGGGAAGACCCAACGTGACCCTCCCCAGCTCAGAGACACTCGGAACCTTCAAGGAGCCTGCTGTCCAGCCCAGTGTGCAGATGGGAACACTGAGGCCAAAGAGTGGGCTGGCAGGGAGGTCACAGGTTCCTAATTCCCACCCAAAACTCTCCAGCACTCATGCCACTGCCCCAGGACCCTGGCCCCTCAGCAGGTATGTACATGCCTACACTTATGCATCCCACCGGCCTGAGTGACAGTGACTGGTGGCCCCTCTCCAGCCATTCAGTGGCCGTGGCTACTCCTCCCCTTGCCCTCAGCTCACACCAGGACGCCCGTGGGAAGCAAGCATGGGGGCTTTCCCTCTTTAGAGAAAGCCCACTGTCCCCTGCACCATTCTGCCAAGGGGCTCTGGGCAGGAACCAGGCCCCCCCTCCCTCATACCTGCTGTGAAAAAAACCTCCCTCTCCACGTCTCTCCTCTCCATGTGGAGAGACATCCAGTGGATGACAGGCCTGGCAATGACCCACTTTCACGCACTCCTCCCATGGCGAGTTGTGGGACAAGGACTGCGCATGCTCAGCTCAGCCCCTTCCTCTTTCCCCAGGCCAGCCTGTCCTCCGAAAGTGTGCAATCAACTGCTCCTGCTTCCGCCACGTGTGAAGGCCTGTGGCTGTACAGCTGTACCTGGGGCAAGGCTGCCTGACTAAGGAGTGAAGGAGTAGCCAGCCCCCTTAGCCACGTGTTGGAAGTCACACTCTACAGTGTTATCAGCTTTTTTTAAAAAAGGTAACATTTTGATTTCCACCTGTTTGCCTCCTGCACCCATCTCTCAATGGGTTCCAATTTGGGAGAGGAACAGGGTGATGTGCATAGACTCTTCCCCACGCAGACAACGGCATCTCGGAGTCATTCATTGGGCCCGAAAGCCCCCTTTCTGCTTGCAACACCCAATGAAGTAGGCGGAGCCCCCTGAACTGGGAGCAGGAGAAGGGGCTTCCACCAGGCCAGGGTGGAGCCAGGGAACAAGTCACCATCCTGGGCCATGTCAAGGGGAAGATTCTAGGCTCGACCACCCCAGGACAAGCTCCCCTGGCTCCAGACATCAGGTCTCAAGTCCCAACCCCAAACCCTCCCATCCTCTCAGCCAAAGCCCCCAAGTCATTCCTCCCCCCAGGCTCTGCTGGGCCTGATCCTGGTGACAGCCCTACCTGGACTCCACCACTCAGACCCCCACTCAGGCCAAGAGGAACACCTGGGGGGAAGCACTGGCTTTGGTGTCCTGAATGGAAGCTCGCTGGGGATAGTAGAGTCACCCCAGAAAGGGCAGAGTGTCCCAGAGCCTTCAGCTCTGCTCCTTGGCTCCTGGACCTCCCCAGGTGCTGCAGGGGAGGCGGAGTCCCAGAGCCCACCCCACGCCCGAGCCCTCACGTCCGTCAGGGCCGCGTTGATGTAGTTGTTGGGGTCCCCGTCGGTGGAGATGAGGAAAGGCAGGCAGCGGTCGGGCGGCAGGACATCCATGCTGCGGTTCTTGTCCCGGTTCCGGGGCAGCAGGGCGATGCTGCACTCCTCCACGTCCAGCGGCGGCGTGACCGAGTTCAGCGTCTACCAGGAGTGAGGAGAGCAATGGGGGGACATCCAGGGCTTACTGGGCCTCCGCCCCGCCCCAGGGTGGAAATTATGCTGGGTTATTAAGCCCACTTTATGGATGGAGAAACCAAGGTCCAGAGGGAAGAGGCAGAAGGCACGGACCCAGGCTCCCTGTCTCCAGGCCACACGGAGCCTAGACAGAGTGCTGGAGACGAGACCGCCTCCTCACCACCCGTGTAACCTTAGCCTCACCCTTCCTCAACCGCACAACGGCACAGAAATACGCCTGCTTCCGGGGGCTATTAGGAAGATAAAGTGAAGTCACGCCAAGCACCCAGCTCGGAGCCTGGCACGTGCAGGGCTCATACACAGGAAGCACGGAGATGATCATGGCTAGCTTATCAGGTGCTTTCAAGGAGACAAGGTCTGAGAGCTCACATCTCCCACAAAGCGGACTCCAGGGACCTGGCAGAGGGAGTCACCTTCCTTGGTCACGGTCCTGTGTGAACAGAACTCAAGTCTGAACCCCTGGCACTATAACAAGCCAGGGACTCTGTATCTCTCCCCCTCTTGCCTTCATGCCTCATGCAGCCTGACTCACGGGGGCCTCAGTTTCTTTCTCCTGTCTTTGCGAATCGCTAAGGGGATCCCCAGTCTCTCATGATCCCCAGAACCTAACCTCCCTCTCTAGGAATCACTTCCTGGGGTACCACTCTGTGCCGGCCCTAGAGCACCAGGCCCCAGCACATATGCTCCAGCTGCACCCTTGCAGGCACCCTGGAGTGGAGAGCACATCTGGCGTCTCTGCTTGCCTAGTGACCACACTCTGGACCACTGAGAAAGCACCTTTTCCCAGTCCCCTGACAGCATAGAGGACGTGAGTCGCCCTGCTGGGTGCTGGGGGGCCGGGGGGAGGGGCGGTGCTGGGAGGGTTCTAAGAAAGAGCCAAAATCAGAGGAGAACAGAACCAAAAATAGATAGAGACTATGTCTTGACATCATCATTTGAGGACCCGGATCCAGCCATGACTGAAGCTGCCCCACCCTCAGTCTTTTCAGTTACAAGAGCCAGTGAGCTGCACTTTTGTTACTTTCAACCAAAACGTTCCTGGAGAATAGGAACACTACAAGGGCAATATGACCTATCTGTCTTTTCTGGATGAGAAAGCTGAGGTTTGGGGAGGTACAGCAAGTGTTCAAAGCCATTCACAGCTCTTAGCTAGAAAAGCCAGGATTTGAGCCCAGGTTTATCAGACCTCAAAGCCTGGGCTCCTAAGCACATGGATGCACCTTCTCCACTGTCTCAAAGTCCTTCCTAACAGCCCAGCTCTGCCTCCTACAGCACTGAGGACCTCCAACGCACACACGTGCACGCACACTCACAAACCACACCTACATGCCCACATACCTATACACCTGCACACACATGCTCACGGCCCACCTGGAACTCTTCCCGCAGCTGGGAGGAATTACTCTGAGGGTCAATACGGATCATTTCTTTGTAGGTAGCCTTGAATTCACTGACAGGGATGGTGGTCTCCCCACACAGGCAGGCCTCCAGGATTGCATCGTGGATGAAGATGTACTGCTCCTGGAACAGGAGGTACGAACGTGAGGAATCAGGAGGGGACTAGAAGCTAGGGACTTTGGGGTTGTGGCAAGGGGAAGCATGCTCAAGGCTGAGGCACGGTCTTCTGATGTGGAGTTCTGCCATGTCGTTACTACAAGTTGGACCCATCCTACTTGGAACAACCTTCGTGGGTATGTTCACTTATCTCATGTTTTATCCCTGTAACCACCCTGCGAGAAACTCTGATGGTGAGGGGCCAGCCCAGGGTCGCATCCAGTGAAGATCCAGACCCGGGCATAGCTTGACTGCAGAACGTATGACCTTGGCCGGCTGCTCTTTGACCTCCCCCAACAGAACACAGTGGAGCTGAGTTTGGGAGACCCTGAGAATTTGGCAGACCAAGTTCAGGGGTGGGAAAGAACAAGGGGAAATTCTAGGGAGGGGAAGAGCCTAAGGACACCCTTCTGATACCAGCTTTGGGCTCCTGACTGGAGCAGGGGCAGAGGGTACATCCCTTACCTCAGTCTGGATCATGTTGACACGCCGGGAGCAGAGGGTTTTCACGCAGTTGTAAATGTCCACGACGCCCTCACACTCGGCCATGTCCAGCATCACATCCAGGACGATGTAGCACCCTGTGCGGCCAGTGCCCGCGCTGGGAAGAGAATGGCCCAGGCCAGGTCAGGGGCTTGGGGAGGGAGCCCAGCACCAGAGGGAATAAAAGAGGGGCCCTGGGGCACCTGGCCATGTCTACACCACACAGGGGGTGAGGGGCACAGAGAGACCCCTGCCCCGGCAAGGAAGAGCCAGGGAGAAGGCTGCTGGAAGAGTTCTGGTGAAACGTGAGAGAGGACAGAGCTGGGGATGAGTCCTGGGGAAGGAGAGAAGGAAAAGGGAGAACGCAGGGGTGAAACTTAGTGACTTGAGTTGGGGGAGAGGGACAGAGGTGATGCTCAGAGCTTAATCCAAGGCTGCTCTTGCTCCTGGATAGTCCTCCCATCTCCTGAGTGTCCTTCAAAGCCCCGCCCCTCACACCCACTCACAACTCTTGCAGCAGATATCATTCTTTCGAGTCCCCAGAAAAATGTGGACAGACTTTTATTAAAACACCCTTCCTGCTCCGTGATCCTTGGTTACGTGGCCGTCTCCCTAGACTGGGAGCTCGTCGAGAGCTCGGCTGTGTCGGATCCAACCTGGGACCTTCGTGCTGGGCACCAGTGGGGCAAAGTTGAGGGGTTGGGGGCAAACAAAAATGACACCAAGACTTCAAGCTTGAAAATGATAGTATCAGAGTGAGTCCCCCATACACTGCTGCCGCTGGGACCTTAAATTAGTACAACCCCTTTGGAAAACCTGCGGTCTTTACTAAAGCACAGACAGCGATTCCACTCCTACGCACGTACCCCACAGAAATGTGTGTGTGTGTGTGTGTGTGTGTTTTGGCCAAAAGACTTGCCATAGAATGTCCTTAGCAGCACCATTATATAGCTCAAAAGTGGAAACCATCCTTACGCCTATCAACAGCAGAACTGATAAACACATTGGGGTTTATTCATTCAGAGGAATAAGATACAATGTGAATGGCTCTTAGGAACATAAGGTTGAGGGAAAGATGTCAGACATGAAAGAGCACCTGCTGTACAATTCCATTTACACAAAGTTCAAAAACATGCAATACCAGTCGATGGTTCAGAAGTCAGGACAGTGATTGTTCTGAGTGGGAGAAGCCGGGCTCACGGGGCCTTCCGGGTACGGCCAATGTTCTGGCTCTCGATCTGAATAGTGCTGGTTATTTCACAGGTGTGTTCAATTTGCGAAAATTCATAAAGTTACGTATACCCTTATTTGTGCACTTTGCCTTAAGCATATTATCCATGGATGAAATGTTATTCTAAAAAGACAGTATTTTAAAGAGACCTAAAGAAATCAAAGAGAGGCTGGTCTGGGCACTGGCAGGGCAGAGAGTGGAATGATTCCGCTTTGTGGCGTTTGGAGAGCTCATAAGAAGCCAAGTAGTGGAGGCCTGGACTTGGGGGCCCAGTAGGACTTGCCGAAGCCGCAGGGTCAGAGGTGAGGCTCTCCCGTGGCATAGTGAGGACAGGGCACTGGATCCCCAAGCAAGAAGCAAAAGGAAGATACAGAGTCGAGGAGGAAGCAGAGCAGAGAAAGGACAATTGGGGCCCCAGGACCCACGCAAGGCAGGAGTCAGGAGAGGAAGGAGTGAAGGTCAAAGCTGTGGAAGGCAAGAAGGCCAAGGAGTAAGGAAAGTCCCTGGGTTTGGGGAAAAGAAGAGAAGGCAAAGTCGGTCCCAGCACCTGGGCCAAACGGAGCACGCAGGTGTGCGGTGACACTTGCCGAGCGGAAGCACATGGGACTTGACCTTCCCTGGTGCTGCCAGTCTCAGCCCCTCTGTCTCCAGTGTCTCCTTCGTGTCTCAGTCAGGGTCTTAGGAAGCACATGGGGGTGCCAACCTTAGAGCCAACGTCCAAAGGGCAAAGGGCCCGTGAGGGTCCTTCTCTCCTGTCCTCTGTCTCTAAGCAGGATGAACCCAAGCCCAGTCTCCCGTAGAGACCTTGCACCAACCCCACCCGCAGCCTCTCTTCCCCGGGGGCGGGGGGACTCCCAGCGCCGCACCTGCAGTGGATGACAACAGGCCCGGCATCGGGCGGGGTGGAGGCCTTCACGCGCCGGATGAAGGCCAGCAGCCCCGTGGCGTGGTAGGGGACACCGTGCTCCGGCCACGCTGTGAAGTGGAACTGGCGGACCTCGTGCCGGGCAGAGTAGCCTCTCTGGGGGGACAACAGTAACCACAGTAAGTCGCTGCTGGCATCTAATAGACACTCGCTGTGTGCCAGGCACCATGGTGAGCATCTCACCGCAGGATCTCAATTAATTCCAATAATAAACTTATGCGTGGGTGTTAACGTTCCTTGTACAAGCAAGAAAGCAAGGGCTCACGGAGGAGAAGCCTCTTGCCCGAGGTTCGTTACGCTGGACTTGGGCCGGGGTCTGCCCGATGCCTGTGCCTGCGCTATCAAGCACCGGCCCCTGAAACCAGGTTGTTGTTAAACCTGGGAGGCCATGTTGACTCTCTGGTCTTCGTCTAAAGGGGGACGCTCCCTCTCCTCTGAGATCTTACAGAGGATCAAATGGGATCACGGTCAGGAGGACTTTCCTGTCACTGGCTTGTGGCCTCTCATGAGTGATGTAACCACTCTGGGCCTCACTTTGCTTATCTGTAAAATGGGGCTTATGGTACATGCCTAATCCTACAGAGCTTTCCAGGGCTGACACAGTATGTGTAACACACTCAGCAGCGTCCAGCACAGAGCGAGACCCACACCCAGCAACTATCGTCATCATCTTCAGGATCTCGACTTCCTTTCAGAGTCGTCAGCAAAAATGGTTAGCTTCCCATCCTATCGCGCCGCTCCCAGCAGTTACCAAGCAAATGCCTAGTGGGAGAGCAGCAGTGCCCTCCTCGCCTCCCACTCGTGGGCTGGGGGAGGTGGGCAGGTGGGCCCTGCCCCACTCCCTCGGACACACCAAGTCACCGGGTGACAGGAGACTCACCCGCTCCAGGGCAAAGGTGCGCACAACATACTCAGCGAGCGTCTCCGTTTTCACCAGCGTGATCTTGATGTCCCCATACATGTCTGAGTCTTCCGGCCAGTACCGCGAGCATTTCACCTGGAGTCCCATGGGTCAGGCAGGCTCAGTGGGCTCTTCGCGGCCGCCCCTGGCCTGCCGTGCCCCGCCCACCCCACAGCCCCGCTTACCCGGCCCACTTCCACCAGCTTGGTGATCATGACAATGCTAGAACAGTGCTCCTGCCACACCAAGCGCCAGAAGTCGTAGACCATCTCAGGCTTCGGCCCTGGGGGCGCAGAGGGTGCTTGTCTCTGAGGCAAGGTCTCCGTCCAGGGCCGGCACCCCCACAGCCCAGCACCACCATCCCGGGCCAGGAGGCTCCTCAGTCCCAATGGGGGCTTCATGCACACACCACACATACCCCACCAACTGCCAACTCGTGTATGGAAGGCCCTAGGGATGGGTATTATCAGGGAGGGCCTGGCTGGGGACCTCAGTCTTCTTGAGCAGAACCCAGGAGGCAGAACTGGAGGACCGTGGCACAAGTCTCCAGAAAGGATGGGCAAATGGACAGTCGGCAGGGGAAAGACACAGCCAGAGGGACCCAGGCGGCCCCCAGACTGAGAGGCACTATCCAGAGGCACAAGGACTGAGCCTGGCTAGCCCCCTGCACGCACCAGCTCAGGGACAGACGGACGAACAGGGAGCTGCGGATGGACTGGGCACATCAGGAAGACATAGATGCAAGGAGGGCAGGGGCTGATAGCCAGATTCCGGAAGATGCAGCCAGACTGGGGCTCAGACAGACAGACGGACAAACACAGAAGAGAGATAGACAGGGAGCCATGCAACCAGTTGGGGAAGATGGAAAGGTGGTAGAGGGCATTCAGCACAGTGGGGCACACGGGGGGCACACGGGCAAAAGTAACAGGTACCTTGAGTGGCTATGAAGTGGTTTGACCTGTGATAACCCTGGAACAGAAGAGGGAGGAGTGAGACCCCAGGGGCCAGCCCCTTGCTCGCTCAGGCCTCTTCTGCCCTTCTCCCCCCAAAGCACACCCCCACCCCCAGAACTGCCCCACCCAACAGGGGAGACCCCAGGACCTCCTAACCAGGTGACCTGTTCTCCCAGTCCCCAAGCAAGAAGGAAGAGCAGCTGGGAGACCAGCATCTTGGGTCTAAACCCATCTTTGGGACCCCAGGGAGGACATGACTCCTTTATGGGCCTAGAGGAGCTTCCCATCCATAAACTGGGGACAATTATCCATAATCTGCTGACAAACCATCTGTTGTTTGGAGAAAAATCAAGTCCAGGGTGACCCTTCCCTGTCCCCAAAGCCCCAGAAGCCCTAAGCAATCCCAGACCTGAGGCTGGGTCTTGTCAGCTGTCCCAACCCTACTACCTCGGTCACGCTCCCCAATACCTCAGTCACTCAGAGCTTGGGGACCTAGAGGAAATCTCCCAGTGGGAGCAAATGAGCACACAGGCTACTCGTGGTTCTTAAATATTTTTTTAAATCCTTAAAATCAAAAATAATAATAATAAATTTTGAGACCCAATTATGGCCACATACTGTGCAAAGCACTTTACCTGAATTATCTCCCACAAAAGAAAGGCCAGGAACTACCTCATTCTCCATTCCCAGAGCCTCAGGCACAGGAGAGAAACTGGCCAGACCCAACCCCCCATCCCATGGCCGCAGCTGCCCATGAGGTCCTGCCCCAATGAGATACCCAGGGCATCACAAGGGCAACCGGGATTACAGGTAAGAAGTATTGCAGGGCAGATGCAAGAGAAAAAATCAAGGTCAGCCACTTGCATGACGTTCACACCCTCAAAACAGCTCCTTGAACTCCCTGCCCCAGGCCCAGGGAGCCCGCTGGAGTCAGACTGCCAGGCTCCAAACCCCAGCTCTAAGGAGCTCTTGCTAACTGTGAGGCTAGTCGTTTCACTTCTCTATGCCTCAATATTCACATCTATAAAATGGGAAATACTATAGTGTTTACCTCCTTGGGCTGATATGAAGAATAAAGTAATATATGTCAAGGGTTTGGCACTGTGGCAAGCACAGTGTCAATACTTAATCAATAGTAGCTATTATTATTATTACTACTGCTTCAAAGGCCAAAGAGTATCCTTCAGGATCCAAAGTATAATATCAAGAATTTCTGGAGCAGAGGGTGGTTTACTATAGGGGTTAAGAATCTTATCCTTGGGGTCAAGTTGAACTGGGTTTTGTAACAGCTTTGTCAAGTAGTAACTATATGACTCTAGGTACCAGGAGGGTGCTTCTCAGCCTCTCCTGTGCACACAAATCTCCTGGGGATCCAGTTAAAAGGCAAATTCTGATGCAGAAGGTCTGGGGTGCGGACTGGGACTGTGCATTTCCAACCACCTCCAAGGTGGCTTTGATACTGGGCCTCAAAACACATGCTGAGTAGCCAGACTCTAAGCCTCTGTTCTCCTCTGCATATGATGATAGTAGTGAGAAATACATCTCAGAGAGTCTGCTATACACCTATACACCATTCTCATGAAAATGACCAAAATATAGTCAAAGATACCAATAGTGAAAAGCCTCCCAGACTTATTCGGCACTCACTATTGGAACTTCTCCCAGTCTAGCCTAATTCCCTGCTGCTGTCTCCTTAGCCACTGCCTCTGCTTCAGGTCCTCAGCAGAGCTGCTGGGCAACCGGGGTCAGAGGGGAGGGCCCAGCAAAGGTGCTATCAGTGCTGCCCTCCCATCCCAGTGCTGGGCAAGCTGGGGACAGGCTGCCCCGCCTAAAACCCATTGGCCTGAGAATCCCACGTGAGAGCAGGAGCCCCTTCGGATTCGCCCATCTCTCTCCGCAGGGCCCAGCACCATGCCAGCACCCACCCATATGCTAGTCAGCAAATATAAGTTTTTAAACAGATAACCCTCATCATTCGCTTATTACCTTTTTAACTGCATCATGTATCATTGCACAATTATATTACATAGAGGACAGCGAAGTAGAAAGTTTAAAACAATCAGATTTAAAGGAAGATAGGGAATTCACCTTGAGCAAACCCACTTTAGAGACCAGCTTTAGAGAACACTGGTTCTCACAATCTAGGGCATCAGCAGGTCCTAAAAGCCCGATCCTGGGGCAGACCCCACCCCTTCCTGCAGCCTCCAAGTGGGAGGAGCTGGGGCACCGACCACTTGCATCTAGGGTGCGACCCCCTGGGCATCCTGATGCTCCCCAAAGGGAAAGAACCACAGCGTAGCGTTAGGATTGGCTTCTTGGGCTGGGGTTGAGGCCCGGCTCCATGCGGTCATGAACAAGTCACCTAACTTTTCTAAGTCTGTTTTCTCATCTGCCAAATGTGGGTCCCCACCTCACAGGGTGCAGGGAAGATGATGTGCTGGGCGAAAGTACCAGCACAGAGCAGGCGCTCAGCCAATGGCACTCCTGTCGACTGGGAGTGTTTCTTAAGAGACTGACAACGAAGAACTAAATGGGTGGGACTGTGTGTCATACGGAAATGGAGGTATACAGAAGCACAACGATCTATATCCATCCCACGGAGGTGCTAGTGCTGAGCACAGCCACTGTGCTCCGTGGGTCTGATACTCCATTTACATTTGGGAGCCTCACACACCGACTGTGCTCTCAAAATAAGGGGATGCCGGGAGCGCATCTGCGGTAACTGGTCACCTCCAGCAGATGTGACTGCTGGGAACTTTCTCTTTACGTTAGGTGCCTCCATGGTGTCTGATAGTCTGATAATGAACTGTATTTTTGCAACCATAAAAAAGCAAGAACAATATTTTTAAAAGAAAAAAGGGAGATAAAATAGAAAATACACAAAATAGCAAATAATCCCATCAGGCATCAAATATAATGAAAATAATATATATAAAAATCAAATCAGAAGATCACTAGATGAATTTGGGTTTGTTTTTTTTTTTTAATAGTCTTAAAAGGTCCAAAGATGACACATTTTTAAAAAAATAAAATACCCAAACTGCTCTCCAAAATAAAACATTTCAAATTAGGGTCAAATTGAGGGCAAAGTGGTTGGGGTGGAGTTTCAAGCAAACTCATCAGGAAGGGATTTGAACGCCAGGGCAACTAGCTTCCAGGAGACTGACGGGGCTCTCCTTGCTTCCTGGAAAATCCCGACTCGAAAGCCACGAGACAGGGCAGCCAGCGCAGCTTCCCCCACCCGCCCTTCCCAGGGCCCCTGACGGAGGCGTGGCCAGGGAGGGGACTCCTGGAGCACAGGGGCTGGGGACAAAGGTGACAAAAGGTGGCAGCCAGGGCATAACGGGGCCTGGGGAAGCACCCCAACACTGCTGCCCATCTCAGGGCAGTGGAGGGTGTGAGGGCACTGCTGACGACAGGGACGGCGTCGACGCATCAGCGCTGGGCGGCCCCTGGCCAGGCTGCTGAAATGGACAGTTGGTGTTGGGCACACAAGTGAAGGGGGAAGAGGACAGAGACTGAGAGAATCTGTGATACAGCCAGTTGGACAGACAGGAGGAGGAGGAGGAGGAGGAGGAGGAGGAGGAGGAGGAAGAGGAAGAGGAGGCAGGGAAGGGGAGAGAGATACTTACTTCACGGTTTATCCGAATCTTAATGATTCCAGTGAGGAACAGTACAAAGCAAAAGAGACAGATATTAGGCCAGAGGCAGAAGGAGGTGGACGGAGCACAGGAGTGGCCAGAATGGGCGATGCGAGCAGGGGAGGCAGAGCGGAGACGGGTGGGCCGGCTTGGGCCAGGGAGGGCTTAGTGGCGTATCCCTGCTGGGGCCCAAGAAGAAGCCAACTGGGACCTTGAGGAGACCGAGGAGAGGCCCCCTGTCACCGAAGCTGCTTCAGTCTGAGATGCCAGACCCTGCACATATCCCAGCCAGGAGAAAAGGATGGGACGTGGAGGAGAAGGCAAGGAATTCTGGGAAACAGGGGTTAGATTGTCTGGCCCCCAGGAGGGGGTGAAGAAGAGGGAGAAGAAGGTCATCTCCAGAATCCCCAACTCCCCCTCCTCCTCCTACACACCTCACACCTCAGGCCTCTGCTCATGCTCCTCCCTACCAGGGGTGTCCTTCCCTTTCCTCCCGGCCACCCAAGGCCAGCTCAAGCCCTCCTTCGTCCTTGCAGCCTCCCGCTGCTGACCGTGGCCCTACCACTAACTTGCTGTGTGACTCCAGCAAAGTCCTTCCTCTTTTCCAGTCTGTGCTTTCCTATCTAATCTGGAACTATTTTACTTGTGTATATATTAAAGGATATTTATGTGTCTCCCTCACTAGAATTTAATATTCAAGGAAAGCAGGGACCGTGTCTATCTTGTTCACTTCTGTGTCCTTGGTGCCCAGCACAATGCCTAGCACGTGGTAGATGCTCAAAATATATCTGATAAATGAATGAATGATGCTCTCCCGAGCCTGGCCTGTTGCAGGTGAGGGAGTCTGATCAGTATCTTGTCTCAGCCTCCTCCACACTTGGGGAGCAGACTCTTCGCCTCCTGCTCACACCCCAGCCAGGCCTCCTGGCTGCCGGCCCTGCCTCGGGCCCCTCCCTGCGGTGCCACCAGGCCCAGTTGCTGCAGTGATGGCAGGACGGCCTCACGGTCAGCAGCACAGGCTGTGGAGACGCAGACAGGCTGAGATTTGAGTCCTTCGCGACCATGCACTAGCTGTGTGACCTGAGAGAGGGCGCTTCACCCCTCTGAGCCCCAGTTTCTTCGCCTGTAAAGTGAGGTCAGGATACTAACTACCTGACAGGGTAGTTGTAGGGATTATATAAAATTAAATATTTGGTCTAAAGTGCTTAGCACAGTGCTTGGCATACCATACATGCTGAATAAATATGAGTTATTATCCTTAAGTACTACTCGGATCATGGTCTAAACACTTTGAACAACTCCCTGGTGCCCCTAGGGAAGAGCCCGTGTTCCTTAAACTGCCATTTGCGGCCTTCACAGTCCAGCCCCTGACTATATGCAGCCTCTCTGTGTGTCACAGAACCCCAGCTCCGAGCCTCTTGGCCCCTCACGGAGAGGAGATCCTTCCTCACGGCTAGGCCTAGCTGTCTACCCTCTCCCCTTTGTTCCGCTTCACTGAAGCACCCCATCTCTCAGGCCAAGCCCAGAAGACTGCAGGGGTCTTCCTGCCGACTGCCGCCCACTCTGTCTTCCCCTGCTCTGAAGTCCCTGGCCCTGACGCAGAAGATGTGGGCGCTCAGAACCCAGCCCTTTGAACTCCCACACTTATCACCTGACAGGTTTCAGCCCTGCCTGGGTGGGGAGCCTGGAGTGGGCAGGGCCAGGTCAGCAGAGATGACAGGGGTGAAGCACTCACGTCTATATAGTTGGCGTTAATGTAGTCGGCATCGGGGTCGCCCAGCATCGGGTGGAGCTTCACTCGGTGCCGATCATCTGGAAACACAGAGCAGGCCATGGGGTGCACAGAGGCTGAACTGGGGAGCCCAGAGCAGGGGCAGGGGGGTAGGCTTCCTGGAGACTAAATGTGGGGCACAGGCAGGGCAGCCAGGAACTGACCAGTAGGCTCTGGGGACCACGAGGGGCAGGTCAATGGTTTGAGTCTGGGCTACTGCATCGTGAAGGCCAGAGGTCATGTGCTGCTCAGATAAGTATTAGCTGTAGCCCCGCCCACCCAGTGCCCGAGACCCAGGCCCTTCCCAGGACTCACAGGCAGGCAAGGGCTCCTGCCGGCCACCCTTGACCTTGTCTTTCTTCTTTGTGGCATCCCAGCCTTCAAAGAAGCTCTGCCAGAAGGGAAAGTGGAAGTCAGTGGGGGAGAGAAACCCCTCCACTCACAAGACCCCTACCTCTCAACAGGATGCTGGTGGGACCATGGTGAGGGCCACGTTCAGGGGGAAACCTGGAGCCTGAGATCAAGTCACCGTAAATCCCTTTACCAGTCTGGTTCAAAACCAAGCTGGCGGGGCGGGGGCGGTGTGACGCGGCGGGGGCAGAGGGGGGATACGGGGGGAGCAGGCAGGGGGTGGGGAGGAAAGTGAGAAAAGAGGGCAAAAGAGAAGCAGAGTTCAGAGACATTTTAGAATGAGAATCAGGTTTAGGTTAAATCCGGGTTTGACTTGGGAAGAAGGTAAAAGTGAGTGTCAAATTAATCCAGGATAAGAGTGGTATCAGCACCCAGAGAGAGATAGGATGGCATTCAAGTCAGAGTTCAAATGGAGCTTAGGATGAGTCGGGGCTAGGCTGGAGGCCAGGGTCAGTGTTGGTGGTCAGGTTCATGTGTGGGAGAGGATAAGGAGCATGATCAGGGTCCAGAGGTTAAAATAAGATTTAAGGTCCGGATTCAAGTCAGGGTTTGGATTCGAGTGAGAAACCAGATTAAGTCCGAGATGAGGATCGAGGTCAAGGTCCAAAAAGTTAGAATGAGTTGGGGACTGTCAGAGTAAGGGTCCACTGGCACTGGGCTGAGGGCTGGCAGGGTCGGGGTCCACAGTGAGGAACCGGGTGAGGCCCTGGTGAGGGTCTTGCTGGACTGGGGCGCTGCACCTCGTACTCCTGCTTGAAGCCATAGCCCTCGGCAGTCTTCATCTGGTTGATGTGCTGCAGGAGGTCGGCCACACGCACCGCAGGATGCAGCTGTCCCGTGTGATACGGGGAGCCCTTCCGGCCACACGGACGCCGCGGTGAGCCCCCCAGAAGGCTGCTGGCCTCCGTGACCCCGCCGCCACGCTGGTCCCCTGCAGTTGGAGAAAGGGAAAGGGGTTCCTGACACACACAGGTCCCCGCCTGGGGAATCCCAGGTGGACTAGAGCAGCGGTCCTCAACCTTTTCGGCACCAGGGTTTCATGGAAGACAATTTTCCACAGACCAGGGTAAGGGGGATGGTTTCAGGATGATTCAAGCTCACCACCTGCTGTGCAGACCAGTTCCTAATAGGATTGGTACTGGTCTGTAGCCCAAAGGTTGAGGACCCGTGGACTAGAAGGAACTCAGCACAGGCGTGGAGCACTGCTGGGTTATTCACTGGAGCCAAACAGCCTAGCCAGGCCCTCCCACGGGACCCTGGGCCAGGCCTTTCCCTACTGCATCGGTTTTCCCATCTGTAAAATGAGCAGGTCAGGTCACGTGACTTCTGGGGGGTCCTTCTGGCCCAGCCCAGCTTGATGTGGTCCCCACACTCCGTCCCGCTTCTCCCCAGTCAGAACCACCCCTCTGTGACTTCTCCGAGATAGCTGTGTGGGACAGAGCCAGTGACAGCCCCCTCCTTCCTCCACTTCTTTCAGGGAACAATCTGGAAAACTGGCAACTCCCAGCAATTACCCCCATTCATAGACAAGCAAATCGTGAAATTAGTTGTTGAGGCCACCCCCTCTGCAGATTAATGAGAGGCACCTGAATAGAGGCATTTATCCTGTATAAGCATTTCCATTGTCAGCCTGTGCAGCGGCGTCAGCCAATCAGGGAACAGGTGGAGAGGCTCACAGTGCCCCCCCCAAAAAACTCTCCCCTCCCCGCAAGCCAGCCCACTCCCTGGCCCTTCCGGACAGCCCCTCCAAGGATGCCCCAACCTGGTGCCCAACCAGGTCCTGGAATTGAGAAAACAGCCTACTCAGTCCCACCCACCTTCGGACACTCACTCCCACACACTTACATAACCCTCCTTTCCTTCCCGTCCTGGGTAAGGTGAGGGGGTCTATTCAAGGCTAACCCTCTACCTTTCTTACAGCTGTTCTCTGCCCAGGTCTGAGCTGGCAGGGGAGAGAGGGGAACTCCCAGTGCAGCCTAGCCACCAGCCTCTACCCTTCCCTCCGCTCCAACACCCGTCCCCTCCTGCTTCTGCCTGGGGAACTTCTACTCACCCTTCAGGTCTCCGTCAAAATGGCCCTCCTTTGGGGAGCCTTCTCTGGTGCCTGGCCTCCGATTCCCACTCATGACTAACTAACGGAACGAATCCATCAGCACCAGGACAGACCCCCGGGCAGCTCAACTTCCCCCAACTCCCATCCCTGTCCCATATCGGGAGGCCGCCTGGCCCTGCTCACACCTGCCTTCGGGTGCCACGGTTTGAAAACTGGCCCCAGGCGGGAAGGCAACGCGAAGGTAGGGCTCTGCTCCTTTGTTTCTCTTCTTTCAGGAATCAAAGTCCTGAGCTGCCGTCACCTAATGTCTGAAAACAATTACTTCACATGTTTTGTCCAGATTTCTAGTTGCTTACAGCTGGAGAGCAAGTCAAGTACCAGTTACTCCATGGTGACCAGAAGCTCCAAACCCTTCATTTTACAGATGAGGAAACTGAAGTCCAATGATGAGAGACTTGCCTAATGTAGGGGTTGCTGAAGTGCGTTCCAGGTAATATTAGTCATGCCACATGACTAAGTGGTATTCCATTAAAAAGATGATGAGAAGAAGGACAAAGGGGTTCTGTGTTTTAAGGAAATCCTTGAAATTCTGGTTTAAAAAAAAAAAGTAGTTTTTTTTCCTATAAGACCTGTTACAGCTTCCAACCTGGTAGTGTGCATTTTAAATCTCCAAGAGATGGGTGGAAATAGCAGTGTTTCACCACCATCTTTCACCATGGAGAAGTTTTTTGTTTGTTTCATGAAACATTCTCCGGGAACACAGTGTAATGTGGGGATTACGAGGCAGGCTCTGGAGTCAGGCCTCGGCTCAAATCCCAGCCCTGCATGTGACCTTGGGGAGGTTAATTACTCTCCCTAAATTTCTGTTTTCACATGTCAAGTGAAAAAAAAAACAAAACAAAACTGTTACTCTCCAATAAGATGCTGTAAATATTAAATAAGATATTGAGTGTAAAGAACGCAGCCTAGCGCCAGGCACCTAGTCAGCACTTGCAGAGGCCGCTATTGACATGTGAGTAGTTTCCAGAAAAGGGAGGAACCCCTTGAGTCTCAGAGAGCCAAGGCAGCTGGCTATCAAGAGGAGGCCTTTCTCTCTTAGTCTCTCTCCACTGTAGGATCTTGGTCCAGGACCTGACAATTCTAAAGAGCACCTGCAACAAGCACACAAGTACAAAGTTTTCAAGAAAAAGTGTTTCTGCTGGCTCGAAGAACTCAGAGGGCTCTTTGCAGAAACCACGCTGACAGCTCTAGAGAGGGCTCTCTAGGTGGAGAAAGGGATAAAGGGAGTGGCAGGGAACCCAGTAGCTCGTCCCAGAGACGCTGAAGGGCCGTCAGCCCTGACGCAGCCTCACACGCAGGCATGGGTCAGCCTGAATGGCTGAGGACAAGCAAAATCCCACCTGGCTGAGATCCTGACTGGAAGCCATAGCCAAATCTGGGCAGCCTCCAGCAGAGCCTGAGAGAGAGAGACACAAGTTGTTCTACAAAGGCCACCACATGGCCAAGAGGACCCTCTATTTCCTGGATCCAGAGAAGACAGGACCCTGCTCTCCTTGTCTGTAATTCCCACGGGGTTTCATACACACATTCTCTCTCTCTCTCTCCCTCTCTCCTCACCTACCCTCCCTCCTTACCACCCCCACCCCAAGGCAGCCCCTAAGAGGGAGGAAAAGCAGAAGGAAGGGAGAGTCAGCCCTCGGCTTCAAGGTTGCCACCCACGGATTCTCCCAGGCTCTCCCAGCTCCATCATGGTCATGGGACATCTTTTACAAGTAACCACTTGACGGCTGATGTTTTGTGGAGAGGGCTGAGGCCCAGAGAAATAAACGCTGGGTCTGGAATCAAAGAGACTGAATTTGAATTCAAGTCACTTGATCTCTCTGGGCTTCAGTTTCCTCGTCTGAAAATGTGGATCCTCAGACCTTCCTTGAAAATGGGCCTTTTCCCCTATTCCCATCCGTCTCTGACAAAGACAGACTCCCAGTTATACAATCCAGTAGCATGCTATAATTTTCCTTCACTGTAGGCAATTAGCATAAACTTTAAAGAAATACAGTCTGTAATGACAGCTAACAATAACATATTGAGTGCATTCATGTGCTTGGCATGGTTCTCGAAGTCATTTAATCCTTAATCCTTAGAATATCCCTATGATGTAAGCACTATTGTTATCTCCCTATCCAAACGAGGAAACTGAGGCCCAGAAGGGTCAAGGTGCTTGCTCAGTAAGGGGCAGCACTAGGACCCAAACTCAGGCCCATCTGACTCTGTGGCCCTATTGTCCACCCTGCTTTCTCTGTTTCACTCTTCCTGATAAAAGGATATTTGTGGTGATGAAAGAAACTGGCACTTATTTGACAAACCATTTGGCCAGAACCCACTGGCACCCACAAGGGATGAGAGCTCTGAAGGTCCAGGGCCCACAGGGTGTGAGGGTTTTACAGGCAGGATTTCAGAGACAGCAAGGGCGCATTCCAACATCTTGGGAACATCCCAGCTGGCTTCCTCACAGCCAGCCTGCCACCATTTACTCAGCATAATAACTCCCTACTTCAAAATTTGCATACCAAGGATGCATCAAAATCAACATGGCTTTCTGTTCTAAACCACAAAAATCTGGCCTACACTGTTCAGAAAAGGAAAGGAGAAAGTGGAGGCTAGACCGGTGTGGGGCCTGGAGAAATAGGGAGAAGGCTCTGAGACTCAGCTCCGGTCTCCAGAAAATACCTTGACTTCCCAGCTGTCCCATCGTCCCCCATGTCCTGCCTCCCACCCTAGCGCCCACCCCCTCCTCACCACCAGTCAACTCCGATCCATCTCAGCCGAAAACCTGGCCACCCCTGCCCGAAGGTGTATCTTCTCAAAACCCCGCCATGCACATGGCAATTAGCCTGGTGCTGAGTCCCCTGGATCTGTCTTGCCTCCCCAGCCGCCAGTGAGTTCCTTGGGAGCAGAGCCCAGGATTCCTGCCTCTCTGTGTCCCTCAACAGGACACAGCAGCGAGATAGGCACCCTCCTCACCCTCACCTCCCACTCTGCCCAGTGCCCACTTGCGTTTTCGGCCTGATCAGACCTCTCCATGTTTTCCTCAGGCGCCCACCTCTGCGCATGTGCACGTGCTGCCCCCCATCCATGAACGCGCTTTCTTTCCCATCTCTGCCCATCCAGATCCTACCTACTCCTCAAGGTCTAGGGTGATACAATAAGAACAGCAATTTGCAACTCAGATAGACCTGCATTTGAATCCCGGCTATAAGTAACTTCTGGCTGTTAGACCAGCGACTTTCCCTCTTTGAGCTTCTGTTTCCTCATTTGGGTTTTCTTTTTTAATGTTTACAGCAGCTTTATTTATAACAGCCCCAAACTGGAAATAACCTAAACATTCATCCCAGGATGATTCTGCAACATGAAGGGTTGATAATAGCTACCGTGCCCGGCTGTGGTGAAAATGTAATGAGGGAGATCACAAAGAGAGCATGATGAGGAAGTACATGTCAATGAGTTTGAGAAGTTAAATGAAATGGGACACATTTCTAGACAAAATTAACTTACTAAACGTGGCTCAAAAAAAAAAAATAGAAAGCTTCAATAATCCTTTACTCCTTTAGATAAATTGAATGAAAAGTTTACATTTTTTTTCATAGAGAAAACAACAGAAAGAGATTGTTGTACAGATGAATTCCATCAAACTTTCAAGGAGCCAGTTATTCCAGTCTTCTAGGATAAGGAAAAAAGAAAGACGACCTCAATACATTTTAGAAGGCTCATAGAATTTTGATATCAGAAACCAAACAACGATAGCACAAAAAAAGAGAAATGACATGCCAATCCCACTAAGAAACACAGCTTTAAAATCTTGAACAATATTATAATTATACTGAATCCAACAACACATAAAGAAATGTAATATATCATGACGAAGTTGAACTTATCTGAGGACTTAAAGGTTACTTTAACATTAGAAAAGCTAAAAATGTCACTCGCCTCGTTAACAAGCTAAAGGGAAAAAATATGACAATAAGGCAGAAAAAGGGATGTGATAAATTTAATGCCCATTTAAAAGAAAATCTTGTAGCAAACTAAAAACTGAAGGAACTTTGTTAATCCGATAAAACACTTCTACCAAAAACTATAGTCAACTTCATTCTCAGTGTTTAATGGTACAAGTACTCCTTTTAAAATCAGGAAAACATGACAAGGATTCCTGCTAGAACCACTTCCATTCAACACAGTACTAGAGTTCCCAGCCAATGCTATTCAGAAAGACAAGGGGAAAAAAGGATAAGAAGAAAGAAAGAAGAAACAGAGCTGTCAATATTTGCAGATCTTTTCATTGTACTCAGAAAATCTTAAAGATTCTACAGACAAATTAAAATTAGTAAGAAAGTTTATCAAGAAGTATGGATATAAAACCTATACACATGCAGAAATCAACTACACATCTCTCTATACGAGCAACAATTAGACATGCCGTATTTTTAAAGTATACCATTTATACAGGGAAAACTGAATGTTCACATACCAAAGAATGAAGCTGGACCCTTATCTAACATCATATACAAAATATACTCAAAATGGATCAGAGATCCAAATGTAAGACCTAAAACTACGAAACTCTTAGAAGAAAATATAGGGTAGCAGTGATTTCAAGAGGTTACAACACCAAAGGCACAGGCAACAAAAGAGAAAAAAAGACAAATTGGACTTCATGAAAATTTTAAATTTTTGTGCACCAAAAGATACTATCCACAAAATAAAAAGGCAACCCACAGAATGGAGAATATATATGCAAGTCATTTATCTGATAAGAGATTAATATCCAGAAAATATAGAGAAAGAATGCCTAAAACCCAACAGCAACAACAAAAACAAAAAAATAAATAAACAACCCTGATTCAAAATGGACAAAGGGCTTGAACAGTCATTTCCCCAAAGAAGATGTACAAATGGCTCATCATATCATTGGACATTAGGGACATGCAAATCAAAACTCCGAGTCATCACCCACACTCCTTAGGGTGGCTTCTACCCCAGAGCAGAAAAGAACAAGTATTGGCGAGAAGGTGGAGAAACAGGAACCCTTGTACACTGTTGGTGGGAATGTAAAACGGCACAGCCACTGTGGAAAACATGGTGGTTTCTCAAAAAACTTAAACACAGAATTACATGAACAAGCAATTCCACTTCTGGCGGGGGGGGGGGTGTATTTTTTTTAAGAAAAAAACTGTAAGTAGGGTCTCAAAGATGCCCACATTCATAATAGCATTATTCACAATAGTTAAAATATGGAACCAACCCAAGTGCCCATTGACTAATGGGTGGATTAAAAAATGTGGTATGTACATGTAATGGAATATTATTCAGCCTTTAAAAAAAGAGGAGGAAATTTTGAAAAATGCTACAAGGTAGAAGAACATTGAGGGCATCATACTCTGTGAAATAAGCCAGTCATGAAAACGCAAATAGTGTATGATTCCACTTATTTGAGATAATGAGAGTAGTCAAAATCATAGAGGTAAAGGATATAAAGGTGGTTGCTAGAGGCTGGGAAGAGAGGGGAATGAGCTATTATTATTTAAGAAGCACAGAGTTTCAATTTAAAGATGAAAGAGCTGTAGGGACACATAGTAGTGATGGTTGCACAATGTTATGACTGAATTAAATACCACTGCACTGTACACTTAAATATGGTTAAGATGGTAAACTTTATGTTATGTGTATTTTGCCACATACACACAAAAAAATGTACCATTTGCAATAGAAATAAAAAATATAAGGGATCTTGGGGTATACGTAACAAAAAAAGGTAGACGATTTAATAGAGAAAATTACTGAAAGACATTCAAGACCTAAATAATTGGGGTGATATAAATCACATTCATAAATGCAAAGACAATTTCAGAAGATGTCAGTTATTCCCCAAACTGATCTATAGATTCAATACAAGTCCATCCAACAAAGTTTTCCAAGGACCTTAAACAGATAATTGTAAACTTGGTAAGACAGAAGATGAAAAACAAATATAGCCAAGATGTCCCTGATGAAGAACAAAGTTGGGAGGGCTTGATGTTTCAGATATCAAGACTTAGGTAAGTACAGAACATAGAAAAGGTGGCACAGGAATCACCAAATGGGCCAATGAAAGCGAACAGGGAACCAAAACACAACCCGCATATATATACGTAAATGTGATGTATGATAAAGGTGCCATTGTAAATCAGTAGTGAAAGTATGAACTATATAATAACTGATGCTGGGACAGTTGGTTTTCCCTATAGGAAAAAATAATAAAAATAATATCCTTAATTCATATCACACACAAAAATCAATTACAGATCAATCAAGATTTTAATGTGAAATGCAAAGTATTAAAGTTTTAGAAAATGTAAAAAAGTATTTTATGATCTTACGTAAGGAAGAATTCTTTAAGAAAACACAAAAAGTAGAACTCTAAAGAGACTGATGAACTTCACTAAACTGAAATAAAAACCTGTTCATCCAAAGACACTATAAATAATCTGCAAAGATGAGTCACAAATTGGAAGAATATATTTGCAATTCATAAGTCACAAATGATTATCATCCTAAATATAAAAAAAAAACTTTGAAAAACCACTAAGAAAGCAACAAAAAACCAACAGAAAATTAGGTAAAAGACATGAACAGGCATTTCATGGAAGAAGAAACCTGAATGGCCAGTAATGATTTGAAAATACATTCAACCTCATTAGTAATCAGAGAAATGCAAATTAAGACTATAGAGAATTACCATTTTATGCGAACTAGTTTGGCAAAAGTGAAGAAGGCTGGCAAATTCTGATCTTGATGTAAAGCAACGGAAACTCTTATGCACTGGGGCTGGGAGCAAACTCAGGCAAAGCCACTTTGGAAAACAATTTGGCACTGTCTTATCAAGTGGAACAAGCACACACTCTATAACCCAGCAGTTCTAGAATCTCCTGTGCAGGTGCATCTGGAGATTCATCTCAGAATGTGCACAGCAGCCTCGTTTATAATAACAGGAAACTGGAAACAAAGCAAATGTCCATGAATGGCAGAATAGAAAAATAAATTGCAGTATATTCAAACAATGGAAAACTACACATCGGAGAAAATAAATGAACTATAGCAAAACATCCATCTGGGTCAATGTTAGACACGTGACATGGAGTTGAAAAATAGAGTGTGATTTAATTTTTAAAAAGCTCAAAAGCAAGCAAAATTCTTCAGTGCACGGTTTAGGGACGCATGCACACATGGTAAAACTACCCCCCCAAAGGCAAGAAAGTTATAAACACAAATTTCAGGGGAATATTTACACATAAAAGAAAGGGAGGGGACAAGAGGGACATCTAGATGATGTTCTAATTCACCAGCAGTGTTTGTCATATTATTATGACTTTATGATTTTCATAAACAGTATATCCTTTCTTTTGTACAAATTAGCACTAAATGGAATAAAAAGATGTGTGATTAAGTGAGTTATGATAAGTTCCTAGCGCATACAACTGATTCTCTTTACCCTTCTTGTGTGCCAGGGACAGCAGTAATGATGTACACACATTATCTTATTTAGTCTTCAAGCAGCCCTACCAGCAGAGGGATGTGAGGAAGCAGACATCCAGAGAGGTTAAACAACTTGCCTGAGGTCACACAGCTTCCAGGATCTGAGATGCAAATCCAGGTCTGTCTGGCTTCAGAGCAGTCCCTCCTAGCCACTGATCTCCAGCCTCTCACACAGCAGGTGCTCCCTAAGCCAGGAGCCTGCTCTGATCCCCTCTGATCACACAGCATCACTCCCTCCTCTGAGTCCCCAGAGCACTTCCCACAATTAACATGTGTCACCTCGCATTCCTCCTCTATGAGTCTGTGTCTAAGTCCTCCATTTTCCTACAGCTCCTCTAGGACAAAGGTCATACCTCTTCCTTCTCTGCATTTCCTGGCCCAGGGCTGGTTGCTAGCAGGAGTACAACAGATGCTTCAATTTTGGTTGGGAATATTACAGAACTTAGCGAATGCGAGGAGCTCCGGAGCCATGAGGACGGGGCCCATGAACCGGGCACTCACCCCGGGGGCTGTAGCCATGGGCGTCCATGAAGGACAGGCCCAGCCGCTCATCCTCCTGCAGGGTGCTCTGGTCCGTGAAGCTCCGGTCCACAGCGCTCATCATGTGCGTCTTCTCTTGGCGGTAGTTGACGGTGGCCTTGGTCATGTTCACGGGCTTCCTGTAGAGGGGGGTTGACGGGAGACATGGGTGCTAAGCTGGGCAGGACAGTGCCCCAAGGTGGATGAGAAAGCCCAGCAGCCAGGGGCCCTGAAGCCAGGTACAGAAACCATTCTAGAAGCATCTCTGAATGCTGAGAGGGTTCTGCCTCCCTCCCTCACTCACCAGACCCAGAGAGTGCTGCCTCCCCCCAAAAGGGACTGGGCAGGGACCCTCTCCTGGGGACATTTGCTAAGAGCAAGGGATAGAGCAGCCGTGGGGGCCTGGCCCCAAGGGCTCAGGAAATGGCAGGAAAATTACTCTGGTCCTATTTTGGTGTCACAGCAGTCGCCCCAAACTAGGAAGATGGCTGTCCCCACTCCAGCCCCTGCATCCCCCCTATCCATCCTCCTTGCCCCGTGTCCTCACCAGTCACCTACTCTTGGAACACCTTTTTCTCATGTAATGGTAGGAACCATATGCCTCCTTCCTGGCCGAGGGTCTCACTGGTGCTCAGCCAGTGCCCGGGAGGCCTCCCCTGCGCCCAGAGTGAACGCCAGCCATGGCTGTATCTTACAGCCCGAACTCCCGGATGGTCCCACCACCGGCCACACTAGACTTGTAAAGACACCCACACAGGGTCCATGTTCCCACCACTAACCATCAGCCCATCCAACTGCTAGAAGCAGCACTGGGAGAGACGAGAGGCCCCACCCCTCCCGAGACGGGGGAGCTTCTGGAAGGTGAGGAGAGCAGTTTGTGCCTCAGGGAAGTTGGAGTAAAGTGGGAGGGAGAAAGGGGATGGGGAGACAGGGGACACAGCTCCATGACCAAGGGGCCAAGCAACAGGCAATGACTGGGGACCCACTTGAGACTGAAGAAGAGCAGGGGCCCAATCACAGGGAAGACTCAAGACGAGAGGACTATCCATTTGCTCGGCCCTACAGCATGCAAGGTGTGAGGCAGACCTAAGAAAGGACTTTCAGGTTATGAAGGCTCGGGGACACTGATGATCATGGAGATAAACAGACCCGTGAAGGGATCTTCCCACACAGACAAATTCCAATCAGCCTGTCCTGGTGGAAGAGCTCCTGGGGCCAGGGGAGGACAGGACGACTTCTGGATGCCCCTTCTGCCAGGACCCCCATGTCCTTCTGGTGATAAGAAGATGGCTCTGTGTACGCCCTGGGGACCGACGCTGCTGTGCACTGAGGTAGGCACAGCCTTCTCAGCCTAGACCAGAAACTGCTCCGTGAGCCCAGGCCTCCTCCTCCCCGCCCCACCCACAGGCTCTGGGCATCACCCTCACTGTGGCCCAGGGCAGAGCCAAAGACCCATTTGGGGGCAGATAAGAAGTCTCTGTGCCTGTGACCTTGACCATCAACATGAGAAGGTAGAGGAGGAAAAAGGGAAGAAAAGAGGTGGGGAGGGAAAGAGAGGGGTGAAAGAATTAGGATACAGGGAAGGAAGAGGGTGCAGGGGATGGGGAGAGAGTAAAGGGACAATGACAAGGGGAAAGAGAGATGGGGAAGGGGACAGAGAGCAGGAGGCACAGGTTGAAAACCAGCAAGCCACAGAGAAGACAGACGGAGGACCAAGGACAGAGGACAGCCAGTCAACCTGGCTGAACAACAGTGCCCAAAGAGGACCTGCCACGAGTGGACACCGGCCTAGAAGGCAGCCTCTGGTGGGAAACCACAGGGCTCTGCTCCTGCCCTCCCGGCCTGCTCGAAAGAACTACACACACCAGCCAACCAGATCCACAGGAGACAGAACCCGGACGGACACCGAACACGGCCGGCCTTCAGCTGATCTCGGGGTGGGATTAAGCAGATGGAATGTAATACAGACACTTATGAAAGTTCTGCATTTCAGTTCAAAAATTAAGTGCACAAGTAGAGGGAGCGAGAACTGCCTTATCAGCAGTTCCTATAAAAACCGAGCTGGAAGCTCCGAGTGAGTTCACATGGACGCGGTTGGTGGAAAAGCTAGTATGACATTAGGTGATGTCAATGCAAATAAAGGGTCCAGGGAGGAGAAGGTGAGAGACCACTGTCCCTGGGCTGGTGCAGGACCATCTGAGCCTGCTCTGCAAGGAGGGAGAACAAGCAAGGGCAGCGGGAATATTCCAGAAGGCTTGCAGAGTCAGAGAAGACAGAGTAGCAGCATCAGGAGTCAGATGGGGACATGGGTGGTAGCCCAGCTCTGCACTTCCTATGACCTCTGACAGGTCCCTTAACTGCCCTGAGCCTGTTTCCTCATCAGTAAAATGGGATCATGGTTCCTACTTGTCAGGGTTGATGTGAGAATTCTATGTAAAGAACTGAGCCCAGAGGAAGCGCCCAGGCAATGGTGGGTCTGAGAAGCCTGGGGCCACCCAGCAAAGAAAGGGCTCCTGGAGACCTGAACGCCATGTGCACTGTATGGAGAGCTGCCACTGTGGGGGCAGGCTGCCCCCCCCATGCACACACACGCACACGGCTGTGGACCCGAGGGCGGGGCTGCGTGAAGACCTTCCTAGACAGGACTGTGATCTGACCAGCTGGAGTGGCTCAGGAACACAAGGGGCTGCCTCGGGGGTGATAGGACACGGAGCCTCAGGGAGGGTCAGTGACTTGCCTGGGGTAACTCAGCAAAGCCAGGTCTGACCCCGAGACTCTGACTACAAAACCAGTGCTCGTGACCTCCACGCGAGGAGGACAACACAGCAAACAGAGTCAGAGCAGAGGAGGGAGGCTCAGAGATCGAGGTGGCCATAGTGGGTGCGGCGGGGTGTCCCGAGGAGGGGCCGGGACCCCAGGCCTGTGGAGCTACTTACGGGTAGTAGGAGTAGGCATAGTGGTCTCTCCTGGCAGCGTGCAAAGAGAACAGCGCGGTTGGGCCCAAGGTCCTTCCACAAGGCCAGGCCCAGGGCAGCACACAGCCAGCAGGGGGGAGCCGGGTGCTTTCTGGGCTCGAGGGGGACTGGCCAGGGACCAGACAGGTCAGAGGGGCCTTCCTTGTCTCAAGGGCTGACCAGGCTCAGTCATTTAGGACAAGGACCCAAAGCCCCTTCTGGAACCTCCCCTGAGCCTGCTACTGGAGTGCAAAGGAGGTAGGGAAAGGGTCTGGGGGAAGCAGAGCTTTCAGCCATTCACACAGGCATATACAGAGAGAAATACAAAGACTTGCACCCCCACACAGAGGCAGGCACACTCAGATGGATATACCCTTACTCTGAGTACACGTAGGAACACACAGACAATATGTGCATTCACAAATGCAGACACAGACTCACATGCACAGACACATGTATTTAAATACACACACTGACACACTCAGATACATACGCAGGCTTATATTCACAAATACACTTACACACAGTCGCGTGCGCTCACACACATCACACCCCCAACTTCCACGCTCGAGGTCACTATACTCACCCTTGCAGACAACGCCCCACCCTCAGTCCTTCTGCCCCTTAGGGGACAGCCCTTTGTATGAACCTGTCTCTGGGAGGGGAGAAGTGGCTGGGACAGGGAAGGAGCAGGGTGGAGAGGGCTCAAGGGCAAACCTGGGGCCCCCCTCGTCCACCCAGACTGCTTCCGGGTGTGGAGTCCATTAAAGAAGCGAGGTCGCCCTTCGTGTGCACCCAAAGCACAACTTGGGTCAAGAGTCCTGACATGGCCACAAAGCACCCAGAGATGAAGCAGAGCAGGTCAGGAAGCTGAGTCTCAGACAGTCAGGGTCTGACGGGGACTCTCTGGGGGTCACTGGTAGAGTCCAGAGCAGGGTCAGGACCCTGACCCTGAGCCAGCTCCCTCCTGAGGCCCCACCCAGGCACCTCGCAGGGTCCTCCATTCACCACCCCCGCATCACCCTGTCTGCAGGGATCCCACTGAGTGGCCTTCAATGGCCTTCCGCAAAGAAATCCTGCAGACTGCGGGGAGGGGAGGAGAAAGGAGGGTGGAAGACTTGAGGACAGCAAGGACAGGTCACACAGCACGTCTCATCCATCACAGGGACAGAGGGGAGGGTCCACAGCCCTGTGGCTTCTCAGAGGCCCTGAAAGGGAGGGGGTGGCTGAAGGAATAGCATTCTTCTGCTCTCCCTAAAAGGTCATGACTTCAAAGGGCCTTGCCTGACCACTCCCCGACAATCACTGACTACATTACATCCCCCTTCACCGTCTCTCTGCCCCCGACCCAGGCACCCTGTTCTTTTCACAAATCCTAATTATCCATTTGTGCTTCTAATTTAGGGCAAGGCTTCCCACTAACTACAAAGCACAAGAGGATTCTGCCCACCACCGGATCCCCTGGGCCCAGGACAGTGTCCAACACATTATAATCTCTTGATAAATAATTCATTGAATGAGTAATCAATAAACAAGGGGGAAAGAAATAAAAGATCTCCACCTCTATGAGCTTCCATTCCTCCTCTAAACAAGTGATGTTAATAGTACCCCCACCCCCACCTCCCCACCCCCTGGGGCTGTGGTGAGGGTTAGGCAACAGGAAGCATATGCTCAGCTCTTCACTGAGGGATACTCAGCCAATGAGACAGAACTTTCTCTGCCTGCACAGAGGGTTCAATCCAGCAGGGAGGATGAACATTGAGCAAAGCACTGCATGTAAGCAAGTGAAAAAGTGCAAGGAAAAGAAAGTGCTGCAAAGGGAAGGGGAGGGGCTCTAGAAGCAGAGCGAGGGGATCTGACCCAGCCTGAGGTCTCGGGCCTGCGCTCTGCGGTAGGCTAGGTCTCCCCTCCTGGCCCCCGGGCCCCGGGCAGATTTGGCCAGTCTCACATAGGCAGGGCAGGATGGCGAATCTGACATCTCCTCCCAGCTGGCCCTGGCTGTCCCCATAACCCCCTGCCCCAGCCACCTCCTTCCTCCAACAAGGGTGCACAGGGGGCACCTGAGTTACTGCCCTCTCACGGTAACCTCTTAACCTGTCCATTACATTTTCACCCCAAGTTGATCTGAATACCCCCATCCCTGCCAGAACTTCTCTGTCCCATGACACCCCCCAGTACAGACTGGAAGAGCCCTGAGGGACACAATGTATCTGGAAGGTCAGGTGAAGTTGGGGCGGGGTAGGGAGGGGGTATGTAGCCGTGGGCTGTGGAAGGGGCTGAATGGCTTTTAGAGGGAGGGTCCCGAGGCTTCTAGAGCTGCCTGAAGGGCGTAGGGGTAGCGGCTGCATAAGCAGAGGGCTTCCCAGTGAGGCCCCGGCAGCACCTCTGGCTCAGTCTCCTGGGCCCAGTGCTCTCTCTACCTGCTCTCCTTGAGGGTAGACTTTTTAGGGCTTCAAATACCACCTTCAACCCCCCAATGTGCGGCCCCCTCCCTTACACCCCTCTCCATCTGTCCCACTCCCCAGAGATGTGTGTGGAGCTCCTAGTACCTAGTAATTACTAAAGAAATAATGCTTTCAAATGTTTTGTATCTTGAAGCTATGTGGAAAGTGGGACAGGGAAAACTCAAGCCTAATGCCCTGGATAGGCCACCAACCCGCCCCCCACACCACATCCCCGCTGCTGGCATGCCCTACCCCCGATTCTTCTGCCGGTGCCTGGCCTCAGGCAAAGGGGCCCTCGCCAAGTCTCCCTCATCTCCCTGGATCCTGCTTATCGGCTGCTGGCAGCCCAGAGACCAGCGCCAACCCATCCATGTGTGCCCAGCCTGGCAGCAGCAGGGGCAGCAGAAGCCAGAGCCCAGGTGGAGAGAGGGTGGGGTAGGCTCTGCTCCTGGTTCCCTATGTGACCTTGGGCAGGTCCATGCCACCTCTGGGCCTCAGCATCTCCATCCCCCAATTAAGGTGCATGTACAACAGTGTCCTAGGGCTGCCTGGTGGGGAACAAGGGAAGAAGAGGTCTCAGAAGCCCCCATCAGGCTCCAATGAGAGGCTCAGTTTCAGCTGCTCCATGTACTGGGCTCCCAAGGGAGGTTTACTTGGTGTTTGGAAGACGGATCCTGTTGCTTTAAAAAGATTTGAAACCCGCTCAACTAGATGTCCTTGAACTACCTGGTAACTCTCACTTTTCTGGGCTCTGAGCTTCTACAATTCTAAATTCTGAGTCTTAGAATCCAAAATCCTGAGTCTATGAAACTCCAAAACTCCACGTTTCTAGGTTCTGGATTCTAAGATGTGCTGGGATTCACGCTGCGCACTGCTGAGTGCACTGGGACGCGCAGCCCGCGCGGACACCGAGGCTGGACCTTTGAGGCCTGCGGGGTGGCAGGGGCAGGAGGGAGGACTTCTCTGAGTCATGGACCCAAGAGGACTCCTCAAGGATCAGGGTCTAAGGCAAGCTGAGCCCAAGGGTGAGGGAGGCTCAGGGTCCCTGGTTTGAAGGGGAGTGAGCACCTCCCTCACTGCTCAAGGTCAATACCACAACCCCATGGTCAGGGCAGGCAAGTTGGCTGAAGGTCTGCAGGGGAACGGGATTCAAAGTCATGTCTCCCCCACACTCTGCCCCCAGGAACGGCCCAGCAGGTACAGGAGAGCAGTGCCTCCATCCAGCCCAGCTCCTCGGCAGCCAGCACTGAGTGCCCTTTCCTGGAGAGCGGCACCTGGCACCAGCCAGACCCGGGCTCCAGCCAAGCTGCTCAGGGGCAGCTCCATTTGCAGTGTCGCTGGCTTCCCACCGCCCGGCTTGGGTCCATCCACGGGCCTGCTGCCCAGGCTGGCAGCCCTGCATACACCCGCCCGGTGGCTGCCCTGCCAGCCCCCAGCCCTACCAGTCGCCAGCCACGGCTCCTCTACGCCTACCAGGCCTCTGAGGGGCAGCAGCGAGGGCGTGGCCTCACTCACCCCTTGCGGATGATGATAATGATGGCCCCCAAGAGGAGTATGAGGACAGCAAGTCCCCCAGCACAGATGCCTAAGATGAGCCCCATCTCCTCCGATCTCTGGGACACCTCCAGGGGCCGCTTGCTTTCCTTGCAGGCAGCTGGGGAGAGCAAAGCAGGACAAAGGATCAGAGGGGAGAAAGGGACTGCCTACCCCCTGGTCTGAGCCATGGGGAATGAGCCCGGCTGCACAAACACACGGGCACCAAGACAGCTGCCTCTCCCTACAGCGTGCATCCAGCCTTTCAGGCAGATCTGTCTCCTCACCACCCCTCACAGCTCCTGCATCCCTGTGTCGGAGGCTTTACATGCACTGTTCCCCTCTCGGGAAGAGCTCCCATTCCCTCTCCACTTTCTCACATCCTCCCCATCCTACAGTGAATGGGGATGGACGATCTCTGGGACCTTCAGACCCATCTTCTGGCCCTCCTGGGAGGTGATAGAAGGAGAGGATTATGTACCTAGGGTGTGGCTAGGGCATCTCAGGATGAGAACCAATTGTTTGGGAGTAGGGACAATCCTTATGCAGCCTGGTACACCCTGTCCCCACCACAGGAAAGGGCACAGAACCAGTGCCCAGCATCCATTACTCCCATGGCCCAACCATAATGGCTGCCCATCCACAGGCCTGTTCCAGGCCCTTGCCAAGCTGTTTCTGTGACCCTGAGGAGCGGGATAAGGGAGAGGTTGTCCCTGCTGCCCAGTCTGGGAGAAGGAGCCCTTGGGGTAGGCACAGGAGGGCCAAGAAGGGAAATGTTTTCTGACCCCAGGCAGGCTGGACAACCCTCCTCGGCTAGCACAGCCCTGGGTACTCAGGGTCCACCTCCCCAAGTCCAGCAAGTGACATATGCCCCCAGACCCAGCAGGACTTACCTTTCCTGGCGATGCGGATGCAATTCAGCCGGGTCTCCTGGAGGCACAGATGGGGGTCTCAGCACCAGTGAAGCCCGGACCTGACCCTCCCCAGGAGGGAACCTCAGACAGCGAGTCCTGGGCCGGGTCAGGGCTTGTCTGCTCTAGACAGTAACTAAAGACACCCCACAGGGCAGGGGGCCCGGGGGAACTAGGAGGGAGGGGCCGAAAGGGGAGGGGCCTGCAAAAAGGGCAAGGCCTTAAGAAAGGAGGAGAAGGAGATCAGCTAGAACAAGAAAAGGGGCGGGGCCTCCAAAATTCGGGTTGGGCCTAGGTCCGGGATCTGGTCTGGATACGAAAGCCTGGGTGGGAGAGACCAAAAGAGAGAGGAGCCAGGAGAAGAGCAGGGCTTCAGGGAGGAGGTGAGCTCCAGGCCTCAGTCTGGTGGAAACAGAAACCTGAGACGGACTCCTCTGGGGAAAGAGAAGCCTGAGACAGAAGACCAGGGCCTCAGGGAGCAGGCAGGGACTAAACTGGGAGCTTGGATAAATGGGAGTCCGGGGAAAACAAAAAACAAAAAACGCTCACGAAGTGGGTAGGGCTGGTGGGACAGAGCCTAGGGTCAGATGGGCGGGGCTCAGACGGGGGCGGAGTCACCAATAGAAGGGGAGGGATCAGAAGGGACGCAACCTGGGGAAGTCTGCTCTCGGGGCGACCCCGCTCCAAAGTGTCCGCAGCCTGCCCCCCAACCGCCCCCACCACAACCCCGGCCTGTCCCTCACCCCCTTCAGGTGGCTTGTTGCCTGGAAGTAGATGAGGTAAGCCTTCCTGGGCTCGAGCGGTGGGTTCCAGAAGCCGCGATAGGTCTGATTGTCACCCACGGTGAAGGGCATGGCCTCAGGCAGACTGCTGGCGGCCAGTTCGGCCCCGAAGTAGTGCACCAGGCCGCGGGCCAGCGCGGCGTCAAACGTGAGCGGCACTGGGAAGCAGTCCTGGCTGCCGGGCTCCCGCCGTAGCCTCCGCGGGCGCTCCTCCTGCACAATCACCTGGTACACGCTGGAGGGAGACCGGAGAGCGCAGTGATCCCAGGGGCCAGGAACAGGGAGAACTATCTGGGGGCCAAGGCCATAGGCTCTGAGGTCAGGCCCTGCTGGGGGCTGATCTCAGCTCTGCCTCTGTCCAGCTGGGCAAGTCACCTAACCTCCCTGGGTCTCAAGTTTCATCCTCTGTAGAAGGGGAGTTATCTCAGGACCCTTCCTTGAGGTAGAGGTGAGGAAGGGGGCAAGTTTAGCAAGCAGCCAGTGCCTATCAGCTGTCATTACAGTGACAGACTAAAGCTGAAAGAATGTGGGCCCTGCTCAGGTGAGCTAAGCCCTAAAGGCCCCAACCTGACTCCCCAGTGAGTCCCCCAGTGCCTGCCACGTGTCCGGAAACCTGTAGCCTCAGGCTCCACTCTATCGTTGGCTCCCTTCTGAGCCTCTTAAACTAGAGTTAGACAAGATGCACCCATTCGTGCACAGAGAGTGCATGAACTCAGACACCCGGCCCTGAGCTAGGCACTTGGGGATCTAGTGACCTCCTGTAGGAGAGGCTGTCAGTGAGCAAGCAAACAAGGACACACTGATCCTACACCCCAAGTCCTCCCAATTGAGGCAACCTCGAACTTGCAGCTCTGAGCTCGATGTCTCCCGGTCCTAATGGCTGAGTATGTTCCCTCTGATTTGTGTCTCCTGGTCCCGACTTGTGTGTTTCTATTTATTTTTATCACTTTACTGAATGGCTTTTTGCTGTGAACTCCCCCAAATCCTCTGTGGAACAAAGCCAACAGTAACTAACTGAATACTGACAAATTTGAATATTTCAAGTCACAGCCTTGATCACGTCTTGGCATGTGACACCCCACACTGACAGCCTGCGCTCTGGGAAGCAGAAATGCCTTTGCCTTGCTCTCCAGCTGTTTCTTTTGAGCTTCCAAGTTATGGGAGAATCACCCCAGCACCCTGGCATTTGGGCCACAGAGGTTCATTCCCTGTCACTAGCACGTTGCAAACTCCAGCCCAGGCCCCCCTCAGCCTCCATTTCCCAGGCTCAGTTCAGGCCTCTCCTGGCCCTGAATCCTACCAGAAGATGATAATAATCAACACTAGCCATGAAGAGAGCGCATCTTGACCGGGCATGATCCCCATTATGCAGATAAGGAAAGGGCGCTCCGAGAGGTGAAGGGACACACCCAAGGGGCACAGCCATCATACCTCTCCCTTCTCGCCATGTCCCACCATCACCCCCACCCCGCCCAGCCTTGTCATCATTGTCCCAGAGGGAGGCTGACCAGGCCAGCTCACAGGAACCCTCAAATGGACAAGGAGAAGAGGTTTCCCAATTCCTCCCAGACTCAGGCGCACCAAAGCCCTGTGCCTGAGCAAAATGCAAAGTGCCCCTCAGATGCCCTGATGTTTTTCTGGGACTCTTCTGACGGTCTGGGAAATAACCCAGGACAGGCTTTGCAGAGGCAGGTATGGGGGAGGCAAAGCAGAGAGAAGAGAGGAGGGGAGTGAAGAAGCCAGGGGTGTCCTGGGCACGTGAACAACCTATTACCTTCTTGAGAGGGCTCGCTAGGCCCCTCCCGTGGCCAAAGACAAGCTTTCACCTCTCTCGGGGCATGTACTTTTGTGGGTAGAGGAGACAGAACAGAGAGGCAGGGAGGTTCTGTGACTTCAAGGAAAGGTACTGGCTTAGTAGACAGACCTGGGCTCCAAACCCCAGCTCTATCACTCCCCAGCTGTGCAGCCTTTGGGCCAGTTCTTTAGGCTCTGAGCCTGTTTCCTGATATGTAAACTAAGGTACTAGTACCCACCCCACAGGACATGAGGACAAAGGACCCTGCAGGTTAAGTCCCTCGCACGGTGTCTGGGTGACAGTGAGTATGTGCACATACCCCACAAACACCCTCATGCTCTCTCACATACTCACACACCCCTCCACACCACGCATCTCATACACACATCACGTACCTTTCTCGCTCGCTCTCTCTCTCACACACACACAGCTTGTCTCCAGCACCTTCTCCCCAGCAGAGGCAGCCACATCAGCAGCCCCAGCTTCCTCTGGGGAGAAGGAACTGGAGAAGCCAAGTTCTTGGCCACTCCAGAGAGGTGGCCCTATCTAGCCGGCTGCCCTGGTCTTCTAGAAAGCCCAGCCCTGTGTCTCCCAGGGAAGAACCCTCCAGGAGATAAGCTAGAAAGAAAAAAGGCCCCAGAGTTCACTCCTCCAAGGGGTTTGAGAGGAGGCCTCCCAGAGAAGCCTGCACAGTCACCTCCCCAGGCTGACACTATCCAGAGATCTCATGACAGTCACCACCAGACACCCGTGGCCTCAGAAGGAAGTGGCTACAGGCGTCCACCTGCCCAGGAGCAGAGAACATCCTCCTCCAGATGCTCTGAACTCTGAGGGGGAGGCTGAGGGAGGACAAGGGCGGGGGGGCCTGGGCAGCGGGCTCTGGGTCAGAGGAGGGGCCTCTTCCCCATGACCCTCACCTCCCACCCTCCCTCCAGGCTTTCACACCTGATGGGCGCACCACGGCCCTGTGCAGGCCTCAGCAGCACGGTGATGGTGTTCTCAGACTCTCCCAGGGGCGACGGCATGTCAGCATAATCAAAGCTGGGGGCTGAGGAAGGGGACAGGGACATAAGCATGGAGCCTGGCCACTGGACCAGAAGGCCAGGCATCCAACCTCCTTGACCCTCGTCCTTAGAGATCTCTTCTCCTCAACTTTAGACTCCCTGTTCCATCTCACCTGAGTTTCCTTGACCCCTGACCTCAGCCCTCTGATTCCACTGACCACAGTCTCCTGAGCCCTCTAACTTAATTCTCCCTGACTTCAACCCCTACATGGTCCATTTATCTCAGCAGAGGCCAACTGCAAGCACCCCCAGGAGGCCCCCAGCACCCTCCCCGGCCCACGGAACCCTAGGATTCTGGGCCTCCTCCAAAGGGGCCAGGCCAAAGCCAGGGAGCTCACCTGAGATGTTGGTGGTGATCTCCGTGAGCGCTGCCTGCCCGAAGCCTTTGCCCGTGCGGGCCCGCACAGAGAAGAGGTAGGTGGTGCCTGGGTGCAGGTTGGAGAAGACGTGGTAGGTCTCGTTGCGGAGCTTGGAGATGGTACGTCGTGGGCCTGGCACGTTCACCGCCGGGTCTGATGACTCGATGCTCTGGTAGCTGATCTGCGGGCAGGAGGGGCAGGTCGGTAGGCATGGGGATGGGGAAGGGCATCCCTGGCCCAACAGCGTCCCACCATTATGTTTCGCATGAGCTGGGGATAAGGCTGGGCAAAGGGAGAGGCACAGTGGGATTGCGGATGCCCCTCAGCCCAGGCCGCTGAGACCTTTCACCTCCCTCTCCTGCCTCCATGTCCCTTGTCCCAGTAACCCAGGGGCCCCAAGCTCCAGGCAGCCGTGAACCAGTATGGGCCCAGGCCTATTAGGAAGCAGGCCGCACGGTGGTGAACTTGAATGAGAGCTTGAATGTAATATATTTCAATCATCCTGAAACCAGCACTCCCCTGCCTCCTGTCCATTGTAAAACTGTCTTCCACAAAACTGGTTCCTGATGTCAAAAAGGTTGGGGACCACTGCTATCTCCTACAGACCCTAGTCATAGTTGAAGGAACCTCAATGATCACCTCAGTCCCCCGACCATGCACCTCCCGGTCCAACTTGTGTGTTCTTTCACCAAGGGCCCCCTCAGTAAGGGGTCCAAACCCACCTCATACTGAGTGATGAGGCCATTGGGTTCCTGCGGCTCCTCCCACTTGAGGAAGATCATGTCCTCCAGGGGCGTGAAGGTCAGAGACTCCGCTGCGATCCCGCCAGGCACTGCGAGGAAAAGGCGGCATGGGGCAGGGGAAAGCTGGCTTTGTAGCCATGTACCAGAATTCAAATTCTAGCCCTACCATTTCCAAACTGATACTCTTGGACTATTCGACCTCTCTGAGCCTCAGTTTCCTTATCAGTGGAATGGGGGTGATAATAACCCTTCCCTTACTAAACTTAAATGATGTGATGTACATAAAACAATTTCCTATGGCTCAGCCCATTCCTGAGTACTCAGAAAGGGTGGCTGACACTTTCCTTACTGTGCAGGTTGCATTCAACAGAGAAGAATGTTGGAATGGTCTTATTTTGATCCAGCTGAGTGGTTTTCAAAAAATATAAACATTTGCCAGAGAAACTAAAATAATTGCCTTAGTAGATAGATGCATTCTTGTCTAAAAATTTCTAATTACACAAACAATATGCTCAATGTATAAAATCAAAATGAGCATAAAGAAAATTAATGGCACCTACAATTCCATTAGCCAAAGAATAATACTGTTAACATTTCAGCATAAACCCTTTCAGGCATAGTTTTGTTTTGCTTTGTCTGTTTTTGTTCACATGTATCATCATAACAGCAGTCACAAGACATTTCTTCTGGGAAGAGAATGGTCTCTGTTTGGGAAAACACCTTAATCAACCACCGAGGGGAAGCTCAACTCAAAGGACAGGGGAAAGCAGAAACCAAGATAACAATCGCTGAAAGCCAAAGTGTTCTCTGTGAAAATGAGCAGTTACCAAGGCAACACCACCATCCACCCGCCAAAATGATAAAATGAAAAAGACAATTCCAAGTGTTGGTGAGGACATGGAGCAAGCCAAATTTTCACACTCCTGCTAGTGGGAGTGTAAACTGATGCAACCACCTGGGAAAACCGGATCTATCTACCTCTTATGAACACACCCATCGGAAATGTGTAAATCTACCCAAAATATTCTACAAGGACTTTTCTTTACAGCATAATTTAAAATAGCTGAACACTGAAGACAACGAAAATGCCCAACAATAGAAAATAGGATAAGTAAATGCAATACCTGCATATAGCGATCTATTCAACAATGAGAATAAATTCTCTAGAATTGTACATGCAACATGGCTGAATCCCTCAAGCAAAAAGTTGAGAGAGAGAAGCCAAGTCTTTTATACAACATATAAAAAGAATACACACTGCATGATTCCATTGATATATAATTCAAACCAAGTGGAGTTTAATCCATGGCATTGCAGGTCAGGATAGTGGTTACCCTTGGGAGGCTGCGAGTGGGAGGGCACGCGAAGGGGGCTTCTGGGAGCTGCTGATGCTATTTCTTGGTCTGGGTGTGGATTATCCTGATGTGTCCGGTCTGTGAGAATTCACTGAGCTGACCACTTAACATAAGCATACTTCCTGTTAGTACTATACTAACACTTAAGTGAAAAGTAAAAAATATCAAGTAGTGAATGGTTACTGGAGGCAGCAGGAAGGAAAGGGGCAGGGAAAGAAGAAAGAAGGCCAAGCAGTCCGAGCGAGGCCTGGTCAGAGTGGGCTGAAGTCGCAACAATATACCTTGCGGGGGAGCAGAGCAGAGGTCAAAAGACTGGAAGAACAGAGTGATCTGATGTTGAACTTGAGGATGTTTGTGAAGGGTAGCAGAGTGTGTTGGCCTAAAATATGCCATTTTGGCATAAGGATTATTTTGAGCTGAACTGAGAGGGGAATTGAGGAAAAGCAGATAGAGAAGATCCTTGAATAAAGTCTTCTTTCAACATTGCTTTATTATAAACCTGATAAGAAAAAAGATCGATTCCCAGCCGGGGCCACTGTCTGTGTGGAGTTAGCATGTTCTCCCCATGTCTGCATGGGCTTTCTCTGGGTGCTCCGGTTTCTTCCCGTCCCCCAAAGATGTGCATGTGAGGTGAGCTGGTGTGTCTAAATGGTCCCAGTGTGTGACGCGACTGGGACGGAAGGGCATCCTGTCCGGGGTGGGGTCCCGCCTTGGGCCCTCAGCCCCAGCCATCCTCCACCCTGAACTGGAATAAGCAGGTTGGAAAATAATTATCTTTCTTGTTTTTAATCATCTTTTCAATGTTTAATATTAGATCTATTTTGGGTCATTAACCAGAAATATGCCATAGGAATTTGATCCTTGTTTATAGCAATTAGCCTGCAGTAAAATTGGTTTTGTTATACGTTGTTTCACTTAAAGTCACAGTTTCCAAGAACTTATCAACAATATTAATTAAGGACTGTAAAGAAATTTGCTCTGCCCTCTCCTATTTGCCTAAAAGAAAGACATAAATCTGCAAAGGTGCCTCCCTCCCCTCTCTACCCTGAAGGAAAGAGGTTCATCAATGAGACAACTCTAGACTAGCAAGATCTACTCAAATTATATTAACTGGCCCTTGTCTGTCATTAGTTTCCCCATATTTTTGCCTTCACATAATTTGCTGCCCCTAGAACTTCAAGGTTTTTTTCCTTTGTCTTGTCACTTCTCTAAAAATTCACTGTTCTTTTGTTAAAATGCCAAGAAGCCCAAGTTCTAACCACCACTTTGAGTTACTCATTGCTGAGCGCTCACTCCCATATGTATGTGCCATGCACATGGTAATGAACTCCCATATGTTTCTCTTGTTAAGCTGTCTTTTCTCAGTCTAATCTACAGAGCCCCAGCCAATGAACCTAAAATGGAAAGAAGGGAAAAGAAGTTCAGTTTTTCCTTCTCTACATTTGCAATTCTTCAGGGTAAACCCCTACAGTCCTCACTCCCACCCCAACAAACCCTCACCATGTCAGCACCAAAGAAGGAGCTGAATGTTGTGTCTGGGCCACTGCTATGCACAGCAGAAAACTACACATGCAGGGAGGCAAGAAAAACTGTCAACCAATGAGCTTAGGGCACCCAGGAATTTGCAGGAATCTGGGGGAAGACTTTGGACCTGTGCTGGCATTGGAGCTGCTAGGAATGAAAACTTTGATGCAGATAGCCACGTACAAAACCCAGCTCTGCTACCTGTCCACTACCTATTGATTTCATCTGCGAAATGGGAATAGTAATAATAACCTACCACATAGGCTTGTCATGGAATTATATGTATGAATATATGGAAAGCATTCAGAATAGTACTTGACGTGTGGAACAAGTGCTTGATAAGTATTAGCTTGACTTAAGTAGAACACTTCACCCAACAATGACAGAATGCATATTTTTCCAAGTACATATGAAAGATTTTTCAAAATTTAACTATAGGTTGAGCCATAAATTGAGGGTCAAATTTCAAAAGACCAAAATTAGAGTATGTACTCTGCCCACAGTGGAATTAAGCTAGAAATACAATAATCATAAAAGTCCCAATTGCTCAGAAATTAAGCAACATAATTCAAAATAATTCTTGGGTCAAAAAAGAAATTATGATAGAAATTAGAAAATATTTTGATCAGAATGATAATAAAGATAGGACATATCAAAACTCATGAATGTAGGTAAAGGGCAGGGATTACAGGAAAATTGATGGCTTTAAATGCATATATCAGAAATGAAGAAAGTTCAAAATTAATGATTCCATAAGCTTCCGTCCCAAAAGTTAAAAGAACAGCTGTTCAAATGCAAAGAAAGTGTAAAAAGGGAAATAAAGAATAAAAAAGGAAATAAATATACAATAAAGAAAATCAACTAAGCCAAAGTTGCTTCTTTGGAAAGGTCAATAAAATTTTTAAATCTCTAGCAATGGTGAACAAGTTTCGAGTCAGGAGGGGTCATATCTGAATCCTGGCCCTGCCGGTTACAGCTGGGACCAGGGGCTGCCTCGCTTCACCCCTCTGAGCCTTAGTTTCCACAACTTCAAAATGAGATAATAATAGGCCCTACCTCACAGGATGGTTGTGAAGTTTAAGATAATGTGTGCAAAGCAGGTGCAACAACAGCTAATACCCAATAGGCCCTAAAAAATATTAGCTATAATTTTGTTTTAATAACACAGTTCATCTCCTAAGAGAGAAGACACAAATTACCAATATCAGGTAATTGGGACAATGAAAAAGGAGATATCACATAGACCCTACAGACGTTAAATAAATATAATAAGAGAATATTATAACCAAGTTTATGTCAAGGAATTTGACAACTTAGGTGAAACGAACAAATTTCTTAAAACACAGCAAATTCCTTAAAACACAGTACACCAAAACTGATACAAGAAAAAATCTGAATATTCCAAAATCTATTTTAAGAATTAAAACTGTTATTTAAAAACCCCACCACAAAGAAAACTCCATCCCCAATGGCTTCACTGCTGAATTCTTCCAAACATTTAAGGAAGAAATTATACCAATTAACCCAAAGGCTTCCAGAGAATAAGTATTAGCTATCATTACTTTGTTGTTACAGAGTTGATTTAATCCTAAGAAAAAACTTTCCTATATGCGTCTCAGTCTCAGACATGGGGTTTCTGTGGGAGGCCCTGGAGGCGCTGGGAATCAGGGCCGGGGCTCTTACCGTCCTCGTCCGTCTGGAAGGTGACCTCCTTGCCCTCCTTGCGTCCCTCGGGGTTCGTGAGGACGAGGCGCACGTGAACATTCCGGTAGGGCAGCAGGTTCTTGATGGTGTAGCGGCTGACCCCCCGCTCCATCTTCACACACTCCCGGACCGTCTGGTTGTGGCTGCTGCCCAGGGTGTAGTGATAGCACAGGGACACGGTGTAGGTGTGGCACCGCGTCACATTGTAGCCCAGCGGCTCCCACTGCAGGGTCAGCTGGCGGGCCTGGATCTCAGCGAAAGCCAGGCCTTTGGGGGCCCGCATGGGTTCTGGGAAACCCATGAAACAGAGAGAAGAGGGCAGAGGAAATGGGGAGAGAAGAGGGCAGAGGAAATGGGGAGAGAAGAGGGCAGAGGAAAAGGGAAGAGAAGAGGAAGAGAAATCAGAGAGGAAACATCTTAGCTGACTGAAATCATCCCTCCTTGGTCCCCAAGAGCTCAAAGGCATCCCCTAGAAGTGGAAAAGTGCGCGGTTTGGAGTCAGGTGGGGACACATCTGAATACTGGCTCCACCGCTTGCTGCTGGCAACCACTGGCTGAGTCGCTTCACCTCTCTGGGCCTTAGTTTCCTCAGCTTCAAAAGGAGATAATAATAAGCCCTGCCTCATAGAATGGTTGAGAAGTTTAAAGTAATGTATGCAAAGTACATGCAACAACAGCTAATACACAATAGGCCCTACAAAATATTAGCTATAATTTTGTTTTAATAACACAGTTTACCTCCTAACTCCTGGACCACATCAGGCCAGTCTGAATCAACCTATTGCTATATTTTTCTTAAGAGATTCATTCCACAGTTGTTCTGAAATATATGATACAATAATAGACAAGAAGTCAGGATGATAGAGGAAATGAGAGCCAAATAGTTTTAAAATGCCAGAGAATGTTAGGGAAACAGAAATGCACGCCATTAAGTCCTATGCGGGGTCTAAAATAAGATTCAAATTGAGTGATGAGCTCCCTGGCTGCCACAGCAAAAAGGGAAATACAATGTTATATTGGGATAATAATAATAATAATAATGGCAGTTAACGTTCACTGGGGGATTTGCATGTGCCAGGTATTGTTTTAGAGCCTGAAATCCAATAGACAGATGCTATCATTAGCCTTACAGAAATGTAGAAGTGGAGGCACAGAGAGATTAAGTAGCTTGCCCACAGTCACACTGACACTAAGTGATGAAGCTGGGATTTAAACCAGGGCAGGCTGGCTCCAGAATCGATGATCTTAACCACCGCCACCCAGCCTCCCTGTTAGGAATTCACTGTCGTCAAAAAAAAAAAAAAATTACACCAATGCCTCAGGAGAAACAGCTACCCCAAAAAGAGGGAGGAAACATGTTAACAGCCTCTTGATGGCTCTATGGAGCCATAAAACTGTCCCCATTTGATAAATTAAAAAACTGAAGCGAAGCCAGGACGGAACCCAGAGGCTCATCCCCAAGTCCAGCATCTTCATTGTGATCTCAGGCAAATCTCTGAGCCTCAATTTCCTCACCTGTAAAATGAGGGAATGTGGGAGGAAGCCAAGATTACTTGTAAGGGTCCTTTTCTCTCAGGCACCCTGACTCTGTGAAATGCAATTTCATTGCCCTCAAGTTCTAGGAGCACAAAACTGTCCCCAGTGAGAAGATCTCAGGAAATACCTTAATGAACAGGTGAGAGGGTACTGCGGTTTGGCCTCTCAAAATAATTACATCCCTATCATAGTTTTTCCTATGATTAATGTGCTCAGGATGTGCCTTACAAAGAAGATGCAGAGAGAAACATCAGCCCAGGCCGCTCTTTCCTTAGACACATCGATAGCACAGCTTTAGGGCCTGGCCCCGAGGGCAGCACAAAATGAGTTTCTGTTCCCGCCTGGGAGCTCTCCTTTCTTCCCTGAGCCACAGGCAAAGACCACGTCTCCAGTCATACATCTGGCCACCAACAAGATATTTCCACTCCTGCTAGGAGCAAGGCCCACCCCTGGGCTTCTTACAGTCTGGCTCCCTTCTCCACGCAAGCATGGTAGACCCTCAACCCATCCAACAGGGACACGAAAGGGCTGGCTCCCCCGCTCACTGCAGCCTGAGGGCTGCAGGCTGCAAGCCCACTTACCGCACTTAGGTTTCTCCTTCCTGGCCCACGGAGATTTTCCTATTGTTTTTCCCTGTAGTCTTGTTTTAACCCATCATTCTTACGTGCTTGGGGTGTAGGGGGCGGATTTTGTGTGTTCTGTCTCTGCTGTCTTGTACAGAGGTCCAAAGTTTACTCCCTGACTTTCTGGCTCTGGTCCTTGCTGTCCTGTGTGTTTTGTCCCAAGATGTCTATGGGAGCCAAAGTGCCACTGCTTTATTTGCACTAATGAGAGCCGGCCCTGGTCTGTGCAGCTCTGCTCACACCATCCCTGCCCCCGGGAATACCTGCCCCACATTCTTTTCCATCCTTCCAACGTGGCCGAAGCGCCCTGCTTCCTTTGCCCTCCTGCAGCATTTAGAGAAGGGCATGGACTGTTAAGTGTAAAGAGGTGACACAGACTGGGCCCAGAGTATGATAAACAGGACAATGAGCATTGCATCCAGGAAGGGCAGCTGCGGCCCAGCTCCAGGCGATGTTCCCAGGCAGGACCACAGGCTCAGGGTTGCCAGATCCTCCCATTTTTTAAGAGAAGCCAGAAATTCAGATTTTTATATGAGACCTCCAGATTTTTAAACACTGGCAACCTGCTCTGGTCCTTTAAAAACCACTTTGCAGGGCACATCCTCTACCTTGGAGGATGAGACGCCCACCCTGATGCTCGGGTACCTCGCCCTCCCACAGCTGTGCCAGCCCCGACCTACCTCGCTAGACTGAGGGCTCTTTGAAAAGAAAGCTCACTTATCTCTTCGCTCCCCACCCTGATCAAATCTGGGCAGATCCAGAGGCTGAAATAGTTTGTTGACTACAGACTGATACGTTGATTGAGGGGTGTGAATTCATGAGTCTCTCTGTGTTTCCAAAAACCATCTGGCGCCCAGACACACTCGCTTCAGCTGCCAGCACACACCGGCCAAGCAGAACCTGGGGACCTCAAAGCCCCGTCCCTCTGAATTCCACAGGGCTACAGGCCACTCAGAGATCAAAGGTCCCAATGCACATTAAAACAACAAGGCTAACAGTTAACATCTGTTCAATTAGTCCAAAATGTGTTTATTTTAATAATGCTAATGACAATACAATAATCCTGAACCATTCAACTGTTTCTCATGGTAGGGACTTTGGAGTGGGGTCGGGGTCTCCAAACTTCAAGTCCTATGTCCACCCCTTATTAGTTCTGTGACCTCAGGCAAGTAACTCAACCCCCCTTGAACATGAGGTCACTGACTGAAAAAAATGGAGGTAATAACACCTACTTCGAAGAGCAAGTGTGAGAGTTACATGAAATGAGTCAAACTGGCCAGCCCATATTAATGAATTAATATGTGAGCACTGAGGTTGAGATACTGGCGACAGTATAAATTAGTACAACCATTTTTTAAAGCAATATACATCAAAGCCCTTTCTTAAACCACTCCTGTCTATTTATCCTAAAGAAAACTCAGGAAGGAAATAAAGCACTATAAGCACTGTTTCAACGTAGTATTATTTATAATAATGGGAATCTAGAAACAAATAGTCCAGCAATATGGAGACACTCAATGGATTTCTACACCCACTAAACAATATGATAAACAACCTAACACATGTAATAACATCATGCGAAGGAAGCAGAATACAAATGCTTTCTACATCCCAATAACAAGGGTGTAAAAATGTGTACTGTAGGCATATGGGCAGAGATTTGAAGAAGACAGAAAAACTAAAACAGCTGTTGGACTAGGATGGTAAGATTTAGCGTGATTTTTGTAATGCCTTTTACTGGCATTATATTATTGCTTTTATGGTAAATAAGATTGTGGGAGGGGAGTGTCGGGGACAGAGGAGATGACAACACAGCTGGCCACCAGAGCAACAGCCACTGGCCAAGGCGCCTAAGCAAGGAGGAGGTGGCTATGTCAACAACGAGAAACGTGTAATTAAAAGGGGCAGGATGAGCTGTTTGGGTCCTGCCCGTCTGGCCCCTGCCCGCGCTTCGCCCCGGCCAGCCTGTGTAAAATGTTTCGCAGTGCCTGGCACAAAGTGGGCGCTCCGCCCATCATGGCAGCTGTTTTGCTGTTGTTTCAAACACTGGATTGGAAAGCAGGGCATTCAAACTTTGGTTCTAACTCTGCGATGGACTCACTATGTAGATTTGGGCAATGACTCAATTTCCAAATCTCAGTTCACTCGTCTGTAAAATGGGTTCAACAGCCGTTATAAGGAAACCTGGGACCGTAACCCTCTGTGTGATCACAGGCAAGTGCCTGGCCCTCTCTGGGTTTCCATTCCCCCACCCGTACTATAATGGAGTGGAACAGAGACTCTCTATGGGTCCCCAGCTCTCATATCTTTTATTCTAAGTGCCTGACCAGAACTGGCTTTGAAGAGCTAAAAACACCATAATAATGACAATTGTCATTTATCGAGTGCTCCCTGTGTGTTAGGCACTATATTTCCCATGTATTTAATGCATTTGTATGCAATTACCTGCCTTAAACCCAAAACACTAGGGGGCCCCATGCAGGTTCACAAGTCCTCTCTTTTCCATCTACATTTATTCCCTAAAATCTAAGGACTAAATCTGCGGTTTTCAGCCTTGGCATTATCGCCATTTTGAACTAGATAATTCTTTGTTTGTGCACTATAGGATGTTTAGCAGCTTCCCCTGCTTCCTCCACCCTTTGATGCCATTAGCACCCCACCCCCAGTTGTGACAACCACCATGTCTCCAGACACTGCAAATGTCTCCCAGAAAACAAATCACCCCTGGCTGAGAACCATCAGCGTAAAAGACCTCATCCAGTCTCATGGCTTTAAATACCATCTACACCATGTCTATTCTGATGGCTTTCAAATTTATATCTGCCGCCCAGACCTCTTCCCTGAACTCCACACTCGTAAATCCATCTGCCTGATGGATTTCCCCACTGACCCTCTAATAGGCATTTCAAAGTCAACAGTTCCAACACCGAACTCCTGATCTACGAACCCCATCACACGGCTCCTCCTGCAGCCTGCTCCTTCACAGGAAATGACAATTCCATCCTTCCAGCTGCTCAAGCAAAACACCTTGGAGCCATCCTTGACTTCTCTCTATTTCCTTCTCTCTCATTGCATATCCAATCCATCAGCAAGCGCAGTAAGCTCTACCTTCAGAATAAACCCGAATCTAACCACTTACCACTTCTGCCCTCTTCCCAGCTCTCAGCCTCCACCATCTCTCAGCAGGATGCTGCTGTAGCCTCCTCACTGGTCTCTCCTCTGGTTCCCTTTCGCTCCTTGAGTCTATTCTCCACAAAAGGGCCAGAATCATCCTTTTAAACAAAGCTGGTGATGCCACTCCTACTCTCCAAACCCCACAGAAGCTCCCCAGGTCACTCCTAGTAAAATGGCCCTGAGTCCCACGTGGCCAGCATGGTTGTGACCTCCTCTCCTGCCATCTCCCCCTCCGTCACTAGCCAGCAATTGCACTGGTCTTCTTGCTGCTCCTCACACAAGCCAAACACGCTCCAGCCTATACTGAGCTTACTATTCTCAGTCAGCCTGGAATGCTCCTCCTGCCGGCAAACCTCCAGCTTTCTGCAAGGCCCAGTCCTCACCTCCTCCAGGTCTCTCCTAAAATGTCACCTTCCCAGTAAACCGGACACTTGAGCCTTTTTAAAATAGCAATCTTCCTAGCCCCCCTCCCCCTCCCTGGCCTTTAGCATCATTTCACAAACTGTGTATTTCCCTTGTTTACTGTCTCCTCCCACCAGAATGTGAGTTCCACACCCAAAAAAACTCACATGCCAGTGGCCTTTGTCTTGGTCTCAGTCCTGTATCCCTAGCAACTATCATAGTACCTGACACATAATAGGCACTCAATAAACATTTTTTGAATGAATCTTCACTCTCTGTATGGTAAAGATTATTATTATTCCCATTTTATAAAACAAGAGACTAAAGTTCCAGATTAGAAAGTAATTCCTGCTGGAATACTCCAGCCCACCACCCTAGGGTCTGCCCAAATGTAGAATTACACTGGATTTTAGAAGGTTCCCAGATCAGCTTTTAAATAAAGCAAAGAACATATATTACTTATAACCGTAGAAGTCAATATATCCAAATAAAATATGAAAAACCTTGCTGTTACTGATAAACAAAAAAAACACTTAAGGACACGAATGGCAAAAATAAATAAACCTTAAACTAAACTTTGTAACTTATTCAAAAATTAATTCAAAATGGATCATGGACTTAAGTGTAAAATGTAAACCCTATTTTACACTTTAAGGAAAAAAAAACAGGAGAAAGTCATTTGATTCTAGAATTAGGCAAGGAGTTCTTAAACTTAACACCAAAAGCATAATTCATAAAAGGAAACTTTTATAAAATGGCCCTCACCAAAATTTACAATGGTTGTTCTGTGAAAGACCAGGTAAAGAGGATAAGAAGACAAGTTGAAAGCTGGGAGAAAAATATGACAAACTATATACCCAACAAAAGGATTTAATCTAGAATGTGGAAAGAATGCTCAAAACTCAACAGTAAAAAACGAATAATCCAGTTAGAAAATGGGCAAAAACATGAACAATTCATTGAAGAGGAATACAGATGGCAAATAGCACATGAAAAGATGTTCAACATCACCAGACATTAAAGAAACGCAAATTAAGACCATGATGGAATACTACTATACACCTCTCAAAACGGCTAAATTAAAGAAATTACGACAACAAGAAATTACAACACCAAATGTTGCCAAGGATGCAGAAAACTGGATCACTCATACATTGCTGGTGAAAGTGTAAAAAATACAGCCACTCTGGCGGTTTCTGATAAAACTAAATATGTCATTACCCTCTGACTCATCAGCAGCAACCTTGAGCATTTATCCCACAAAGTTTATGTTCGTGAGAAGCCTATACACAAATGTTCATAGGAGCTTTACTGGTAATAGCCAAAAAGCAGTACCTGTCCAGATGTCCTTCAACAGGTGAAAGGTTAAACAAACTGTGGTATATTCATACCACAAAATACTACTCGGCAATAAAAAGGAATGAACTATTGATATACACAACAACTTAGATGAGTCTCCAGAGAATTATGCTGAACAGAAAGATCAATCTCAGTGCCAAAACAATTCAATGGGAAAAGAAGAGTCTTCTCAATAAACGGTGCCGTGACAACTGGACATCCACATACAAAAGAATGAGGCTGGGCCCTCACCTCACACCATATACAAAAATTAACTTCAAATGGATCAAAGGCCTAAATGTAAGAGCTAAAACTACGAAACTCTTAGAAAAAATAGGGGTAAATCTTTGTGACTTTGGATTAGGCATTAGTTTTTAGATATGACATCAAAGGCACAAATTGGGCTTCATCAAAATTAAAAGCTTTTGTGCTTCAAAAGACTCCAGCAAGCAAATTAAAGGACATCCACAGAATAGAAGAAAATGTTTGCAAAATACCCAATAAGGGTCTAGTATCTAGAATAAATAAAGAGCTCCTACAGTTCAGTAACAAAAATTTGAAAAACAACTTAAAATGGGTAAAGGATCTGAATAGACATTTCTATAGAGAAGACATACCAATAACCAATGAGCACATGAAAAATGTTCAATATCATTAACTATCAGGGAAATACAAGTCAAAACCACAATGAGATACCACTTCACACCCACTGGGAGGGTTATAATCAGAAGATAGACAATAACAAGTGTTGACAAGAATATAGAGAAATTGGAACCCTCATTCACGACTGATGAGAGTGTAAAATGGGACAGCTGCTTTGGAAGTCGGCAGTTCCTCAAAGTTTAAACATAGTTACCCTGTGATATACATGCTATATACCCAAAGGAAATGAAAACATATGTCCATACAAAAACTTGTACACAAATATTCATAGCAATACTGTTCATAATAGCCAAGAAGTAGAAACAACCCAAATACCCATCAACTGGTGAATGGATAAGTTGTGGTATTGTCCATACAAAAGAACATTATTCAGTAATAAAAAGGAATAAAGTTCTGATATATGCCACAACATGGATAAACCTTAAAAACATTATTCTAAGTGAAAGAAGCCAATCACAAAAAACTACATATTGTAAGATTCCACTTATATGAAATGTCCACAAAGAGGTAAATCTATAAAGACAAAGTAAATGATTGGTTGCTTAATGTTTGAGGTGTTAGCTAAAAATGAGGAGCGGAATACTAAAGGGTAGAAGATTTTGTTCTGGGGTGATTAAAGTGTTCTAAAATTGATTGTGTTGATGATTGCACAGCTCCGTGAATATACTAAAAACCACCGAAGTATACATTCTAATGAGTGAATTGTATGAGATGTGAATTATATCTCAATAAAAATGGTACCAAATTTAAAAATCAATTCCAAAAGGTTATATAATGATTTCACGATTTATATGACATTTTTGAAATGACAAAATTTTAGATATAGAGGACAGATTGGAGATTATCAGAGTTTGGGGCGGAAGAAGGAATGGAGGTGAATGTGGATATAAGAGAGCAACACCAAGGATTCTTAAGCTGATTGAACTGTTCAGTATCTTGACTGTGGGGATAAATACACAAACCTACACATGTGATAAACTGTATAGAACTAAATGCATACAAATGATTATAAGTGAAACTGGAGAAGTCTGAATAAGATCTGTGGATTAGAGCAATGTCAATATCTTGATGATGATACTATGCTACAGTTTTGCAAAATGTTACCATTGCAGGAAACAGGATAGAGTGTATAGGGAATTCTGTCTGTATTTTTTTTCTTACAACTCCATATGAATCTACAATTATTGCAATAAAATTCCAATTAAAAAAAAAGCTGAAATCACAGAGTGAGAAAATTGTTCTATTCTCAATTTCTCTTCGGATTAAAATGCTTTACCCTTTTCAGAGTGAAAGAGCAGACCTCAAATGTCTAGACAAGAGAAACCAGTTACAATTTAACAACATACTTTTATTTAATGGCAGTTAGTTGTTTATCTTATCTGGATGGTATAATATAGAATAAAGAACACAGATTCTGGAGACAGTCAAGGGTTGCAATGCCAGCTCTGCCATTTAGGAGCTGTTACTTGGGCCACTTAACATCTCTGTACCTCAATCACTTCATCTGCAAAATGGATATGACAAGAGTACCTAGATCGTGGGGTTGTTGTGAGTTTTGAATCAGTAAGAGTGTATGTGTGTACACATATATATAAGTGTCTGGCACAAAGTTGTGAGTTAGCTATGATTTATCATTTCTATCTTTACCATAACAAGGACTGAGGGAAAATCACGTTTTAGCAAATTTTAGAAGCACAGGTGCAGACCATACTACCTCTCAGATTGTGCCACTTTGCCCCTTGGGTGCTCTGAGCCCATGCCCGGGTGTCCCAGGGAAGGAGTGGTTTCATGAGGCACCCACCTGCGCACTTCGTGCGGCTGACCAGGGGAGGCCCGGGGCGGCCGGTGCCACCCTCACCCGGGCGAGTGAGGAGCACGCTGATCTCGTACTCGGTGTCGGGGTCCAGGTGCCAGAGCTTGTAGGTCTGCAGGTTGACGGCGTGCACTTCTGCCCACGGGCCGCGCGACATGCGGTACTCAATCTCCTTGCGCACTATCGGCCCGTCGCCAATAATGGAGTTGGTGTTGAGTTGGATGATGAGGTAGGTGGGACCCGCGCGCAGCAACTGCGGGGGTGCAATCGGAGTCGGGGGCTCTGCGAGGACAAACCGTAGCGGCGGAGCCGACGGATGTTGCTGTAAGGCCTCTGGCCCCAGCTCTGCACCCCATCACACCTAAATCCCCAAGAGCCCCCACCCCTGTCCTCCCAGGCCCCTGGTGCAGCCCCCGAGTCCTCAACACCACTTCTCCCTACCGCATGAAATGCCCAGGCCCTAAGGGGCGCCCCACTCCAAAGGCTGACCCCGTCCTCGCCTCTCAGCCCACACCCTCTCCCTCACTCCCCTCGGAAGCCCCACGTGCTCGCCTCCAGGGACTGATCGCAGGCCAACTCGGGTCAGCGGGTCAGGCCCCCTGTCCTTAACGGCCTGTTCCCGCCTCGCCTGGCTCACTCCTGGACCCCGTCCTCCCACAGACCCGCCTCTCAGTCGCACCCCAGCCCCTCCACCAAGACCGCCTCTTCGGATAAGCACTGCTTGCTCCTTAGGCCACACTGGAGGTCAGGCTCCGCCCCTGCAGGACGCCGCTCCCCAACCCGCCGTCGGCCCCGCCCTCCGTGAGCGAGCGCGCGCTGACCCTTGACGATGAGCTCTGCGAAGTTGGAGACGCCCGCGCCACGCGAGGCCTGGGACACACAGCGGTACAGGTCCTGATCTTCGCGGCCCACCTCGGCCAGCGGGAAGGTGGCCAGGAAGCGACGGTGGCTGATGTGCCGCACGCCGGCCGCGGGCACCAGCGCCCCGCTCTGCCGCTGCTCGAGGAGAGGGGCGACAGAGTCAGCGACGCCGGGGAGAAAGGGTCCCAATCTCCCTCTGACCCGGGCGAAAGGGAGTAGTAACTGTCCTTGCCCCATTTAGGCGTCCCTACTACACTGGGGGTACATGGGGTTCCCGAACCGGATCCACCACAGTAAGGTGCGGAGCTGATTGAAGAGAGGTTGTCGCCCTGCCTTTGATGGACAGTGTGGTTGGGGGATCCTGGAGCCGCGCTCTGTCCTGGGTTGGGGGGTGAGGAGGATGGAGGCACCCAAGAGGGCAGAGCAGAGTCAGGGCCCAGAAGAGGCCCCCAACACACTCTGGCCAAGGTCCGCGCCTCCCTCACCTGCAGGAGGAAACGCTCCGCCTCCGCGGCTCGGCCCGCAGCCATGCACTGGAAGGAGGCGTTCTGGCCGGCGTTGACCTCCACGTCGCCCAGGCGGGAGAAGTGCGGGGCCTTTGCTGCGGGAATATAGCCGCGGCGTGAGTCGGGCCTGCGCCCCCTGCAGGCAGGAGCTGTGACGGCCCGCACCCCTCACCTTGCACCCCAGGGGTCTGGAACTCACCGCAGGGGTAGCTGAGGAGCAGGATGTCATCGAGGCCCATGTAGCCCCTGCGGTCTGGGGAGATGAGGGCCTCAAACAGCACCTGGGGGAGGCGGGAGGGTCCCTGTCATACTGACATTGCTCCAGCCCTGCCTGAGAAGGTGTCCACAAGAGCCCCCTTTCAGCTCTGCTCCAGCCCAGCAGAGGTCAGCCCAGCTCATAATGACCTGTCAGCGTCCAGAGCTAACAAGGACAAGGCGAGAGGTTCCATCCCAATCCTGGACAGTTACCTTCAAGTTTTGCTAAACTCTACCCAGCCAGGCAGGGGCACAGTTCCAGCTCACCCTTGACCCCAACCATAGACTATTCCCATTAAGAAGGACCTCTGATGCTGAAACCAAACTGAATCCTCACTGAATAACCCAGTACTGACCACAGACTGACCTCTGACCTTGACCGCAGATTGGCTCCTGCTGCTGAACATAAACTCATTCCAACCTTAGACACTCACTCTGGCCTCAAGCGGACACCCCTCTACCCCTGCCCCCAACCAAAGCATAAGCAGGCCACACACTGAACTCAGCGCACCTGATATTCATTGGGCCAGAAGGTGCTGACAGCCATCTCAGCCTGGTGCCACTGACGGCCATGGGATCCAGTCATGTTCCAGACAGCGCTGCCCAGGGGACCTCCATTGACCCGCACGTAGATACCCAACGTGCCTGGGCTGTGCCCATCTCGGCTGTACAGGAAGTAGCTGAACTGCACACAGTGGGTGTCATTCTCGCTCAGGCTCTGGAAGATGACATGGGCCCGCTGGCCCGGGGCATGCTGGGAAGCATTGACCATCAAGTAGGAGCCTGGAAAGAGAGGAGGAAGAGTCAGGAGCTGAAGAGACCCTGAGGGAGGACCAAGGTCAAGTGGGCACAGAGGAGGGGGCAGAAACAAAGGACCCCAGGCATTTGCACTCACCATGAGTCAGGGGTTCTGAGTTCTGGTCCCAGCTCTGGTTCACTAGGTAAGCCCCTTCACTTCCTTATGTCTGTTTCCCAAAGGAAAGAGTTGGAGCAGCAAAAAAAAACACAAAACCCTTTCTTGCTCCTCACCACTTAGAATCACAATCCAAACTCAGGCTGCTCCAAGGCTTTCCCCATGTTCTGAGCTGTCCCTGGAGGCAGGGACTAGGCCACTCATCTCAGCAGTCAAGAGTCTGGCATGACAAGCCCTCAAAGGCCTCCTCTTCTGAAGTTTCACCCCTACCCCATCTTTCTATGGGCTTCTCCCTGGCCTTAGACCATTAATAAAGGTGTGTATGTTTCCCATCAGCCTATGATGCCTCAGGGCTCCACTATGTCCCCAGCACAGGCTCTGAACCCACACTGAATGAAAGTAAAGAACAGACTGCATGAAAGGACTCTAACTTCTCCTCCAGCCCCCACCCCCTGAGACTACATTCCTGGGATACAATTCTCTTGGTTTCCAACCTGAAGAAAGGCAGCTCTGCCCCTTCCCCAGAGGTCTAGGCTGTATGCTGGCTTGGGAGTGGGGTGAAGGAGTGGGCTAGGCTCCACAGGACCTGGCTGAAGGATCATGCCTTCCCTTCGGTGGGGGGAAGGCCTCAGCAGCTGCCAAGGGGGGCCTGCAGCCACCCAGCGCTGCCTCCTCCTGGGCTTGGCTGCCAGCCAACACAAGCTCATTCAACTCTCAGCTCGGGGAGAACTCCCCAGAGACTCCACAGAGGAGATCTCATTCATCTCTGTGAGCCAGAAGCCTGTGAAGGCTGCTTCTGGTTCAGTCTTGGAGGGCTAGTAAACAAAACCCTAGGTCCCCATCCCCTCTCAGGAAGGGACAGATCCCAGCCCCCGAAGTCTCTCTCTGCCCACTCCTCCGTCCTCCTCTGTCCTCTCCCTGTGAGCAGCTGTGTGTGTCTTTCTCCCCCTTTCAATCTGACACTTTGTTCTTGCCTCATCCTTCTGCTCCCTCTGCCTCCCTCTTTTTCTCTAGGTTTTTCTCACTCTGCGTCCCCCCACCCTTCTTTCATTTACTCCATTCCTGTGGCTCTTCCTTCTCCCTCTCCTGCTCTCTGTTCCCTCTCTCTCCACCCTCAATACCCCCCCCAAGACGGAGAGCGCCAGGAAGGCAGAGACTGTGTCCACCTTGCTGACCACTGCATCCCCAGGATCCAGCACAAGGCCCACGTTATTAGCTAAACTTCTCTTTCCCCCTTCTCACCGATACATCTCTGCTTGTGTGGGTGAGAGAGACAGAGCCCACACAGGGTGGTCAGGACTGTTAGAGGGGAATTCGAATCACCTCGTACCTGCATGCCAACCATGTACTGTGACTGGGCCCTGCGGACATGGAGACAGCACACGTAGGGCCCTACCGTGGGGGACACCTTGACAGATCACTATCACACAGATCAGACGCTGATACTTGACAGTTGAGAGGTCAAACTAGGAGCTGGGAGCCCTGCAAAGGTGGAGATGAAAGCTCCAGGGAGGGCACGGTGGCATAGAAGGGTAGGGGGGCAGCCGAGAGGCCTCCAGGAGGCAATGCCAGGAATTGGAGGCCACCCATGCCAGGTCGTGGAGAGCATCTCTCCTGTTGGCTTCCACTCCTGGCCCCACCACTGAGCCTCTTTGGTGCCCTTCCCCCGCACCTTGACAGCAGTTGCAATCCTGGCCGTGCTGGGCTGAGCAGTTAGACCCTGGCCCTCTCCTGTGACAGGGCGAAGAGGAAGCAGCCCCCAGGCTCTCCAGTTCTGAGGCTCCCTCAGCAAGCCCCTGTGGTTCTTGCACTATCCCATCTCCTCCCACCCAGCCTTTATCGGTAAGAAGGTTGATAATTTGGCCTCTACCTGTCTTATTCCTTTATTAACTCCCATTTGAGTCTGCACCCAGTGAAGAGGGATGCTAGTACTTGGGCCCCCTCAGACACCTCCAGCAATGGCAACACCTACATGCCACCCCATGTTATGTACTTTATCTAATACCCCTATAAAGTAAATCATTCTCCCCATTTTACAGTTAAGAAAATGGAAGCCCAGAAAAGTTAAGTGACTTGCCCGAGGTCACACAGCTGATAAAGTGATAATGCCAGGATTTGAAGACCATTCTTCAGGATGCTGGAACCAGTGCCCCGGGGGCCCATGTCAGAGTGGGAGGCCAGTGCTAGAATCCATGGATGTAATTAACCTCCTGAGTCCCCAGTCTAGGGCTCACAGTGCCAAAAGTGCCCCATCCTGAAACAGGGGCAGAGCATTGTGGAAGTTGGGAAGGGTCTGGGGCTTGCAAGAGAAAAGGGGCAGAGGAAGGAAGGTTTTACGCACACCCAGCCCCCAGGGTTACTGCTCTGTCAGCCTCCTCAAGTCCTGGGAGACCAGCATTCAGAGGCTCTCCGTGAGAAAAAGTCTTCTATTACTTGGACCTACTCCCATTTTATAGGGAAAACTACATGATGCACACAATTGGACAGTGTCCAGAGAGCTCCATGTTCACAGTGTCATGTATGTCATTAGAGACGCCAAAGCAGTTGAGGCCCAGAGACTAAGTAATGTACCCAAGGTCACACAGCAAGTGGGTAGAATGCCCCCAGAGGGAGACAAATGGGGAATGGCGACTGAGAGTAGACTCACCGTGGGGCAGGTCCGCAGGAGCCCGGGTACCAGGGTGGATCCGCACCTGCTCCCACTGGAAGTCGTCGTACTGGGCCTGGCTGTACTCACAGGGCACAGCTGAGTCACTTGCCTCCTCGAAGGTGCAGCCGGCTGTGAGGGCAGGGCCTGGTTAGCCAAGGCTAGGACAGGGCTACCGGCCAGGAGGGCTCCTGGGTCACCTCCAGGCGCCCCCACACTGTCCCCTCCTACTCGGGCCCCTCCACCCCCGCCCCCTCTGCTCAGGCCTTCCCCTCACTGCCCACTCCAACAAAACTCTCCTCTGCTGTCTCCCTCTACGAAGACCCGCTTTCCATTGTCTCCTCCCAATACCAGGCCTCCCCACAATGCCCACACCCCCAGTACTTTCCGGGACCCCCCTATTGCTCTACCGCCCATCAAAGACCCTCAACAAAACTGGTTATCAGTACTGCTCTATCATTAGAGCCTCACAACAACTCGTGAAGTCAGGACTAGATTTATCACCTGAGGAAACTGAGGCCCTAAGAGGCAGAATGACTTCCTTAAGGTCACACAGGGGGTTAGTGACAGAGATGGGGTTTGAACCGAGATCTACTGCCTGCTGGTCAATGTCCCATTGCCTGCCCCTCCAACTCCACATAGAGGACAGCCATAGCAGACCCCAGGACTGGCAGGGTCATGAGCACCCTAAGCCACCCCTGACAGTATCTCCTTTAAAATAACAATGGCGACAGGTTTACGACAAGCCCTGAACAGTGCTAAACAGTTTGGGTGCAGACTCGCATTTAGGCCTCGCCTTCTGAGCGAGTACCACTACCATTCCTACTTGACAGATGAGCATAGGAGATTCCCTCATTGCCCAAAGTCACCCCACTTAAGACTCTGCCTGCAGCAGTGTGACACGTGAAAGCACAGTCATGTGTGGACGGGGCACACCTATGAGTAGAGGAAGCAAATTCTCATGGTTTGGAACCAATATTTACAGTTTAAATGAGAAAAAGAAGAAGGAAGACGGGACCGAAATGGATGTGAGACCTTTGGCTGGTAATGAGGTCCATAAATCTTAGCTGGCTCATCAAAGCCCTGAGACATGCACCTAATAAACCTCAGAGCACCACTGGTTCAGAAAGTACGCGCACTCTGGTCCCTGCACCCATTCCCGAACCTCAGTGTTTGGAGTCCCATCAGGCGTAGCCTGAAGCACCTGAGACCTAGAAAATGCCTGAGCAAGTGGCAAGGAAGCAGGCACAAATCGTGCCAGCCCTGGGTGTCTGCACTGGACCGATGAGGTGACTGAGGCTTCGAAGGTGGAAGGGTTCATCCACAGTATTAACGTGGTAGACACACACTGGTGAGTGAGCTTTGGCCTCACACGCACTTGGGAGTGAGTCTTGCCTCTGCAGTTTGCCAACCCTTGTAACTGTGGGCATTCCCTTCTCCTTTCTGAGTCTCAGTTCCCCCATCACATAGCGGTGGTTGAGGATTCAGTGTAGGGTCCACTTAGCACAATGCCTAGAGCACGTGCAAGTACTCAGGAAATAGCAGCTCCTTGCACGTGCCACTTGAGCCTATGTGAGTAGCAAGCAGAATTTAAACCCATGTCGGTCAGCTGCCAAAGTCCACATCTCCCACCAAAAAAGCCTTCACTGGGAGTACAGGCAACCCTGAGCTGCTTCCGGGGCTCAAGAAGAGGAGGGAAGAGAAATAGACAGCCACTGGGGAGTGCCACGTGCCAGGAACAGTAGTGACTTTGCACACACAGCTGGTGACTTCACTTTAGGAGGCTCTTGTTTCATCTGTAGCAAGGACTTCTCTAGGTTGTTACGAGGATCATGTAAAGTAGCATATGGAAACACACCCAGGAGAGCCAGGCACAAAGGGGCTCGCCATTGTTGAGGGGTTTTCCTTTCCTCTTCTTGGACCCTACCAGTGTGTAAAATGATGAGAAGTGGCCATGCTTCCTGGCACACAGTGCATGCGAGGAAATAGCAGAAGCCTCTCTCCGGAGCTGGGACAAGACCCAGGCCGAGCTCTTTGCCCCTTTATGTGAAAAGCTCTGGCCAGCATCATGTCCTGTGGCCTGTGGAAAGTGGGTTTTAACCCCATCAGTGCTGGGAAGGCCTCAGCTATCCTGCTAGAAAAGGATCCACAGTGCAGCACAGAGAGAACATTTGGCCAGTAGGGATGGTCAGGGAGGACTTCCTGGAGGAGGGGACAGATGAATTAATTCAGCCTGAACTGAGTCTGCTCCTGAGGGTCTTAGCCAAGGCCTCCCTGAGGAATAGGGATTGCCAGAAAGGGAAGCCCAGGGTTTAGAGCCCTAGCCAGGGCTCAGGTTCTTCCTGCTCCTTCACAAGTATCAAGGCAGCTGCCCAGGTGTGAGCCTAAGAGTGCCAGCTCCTTCCTTCACGTGCTGCCAGGACTTCCAAACTGACCGACCTGGTCAGAGGGACTCCCACACCATCCGACCTTAACCAGAGTAGCCCCCAGACTGACTGACGCAGGTCAGTGACACCACCTCGGTAGACCTGAGCCAGAGTGGCCCCACTGCCCTCCAGATGGCCGCCAGACCATCTGCCTTCAGCCAGAATGACCACCAGACTGACCCATGGCCACAGTGGCCCCTGACCTCCGCCAATAACTCCTATAAGGGACCCCAGCGAGGGTGACCTCCGCAGCTGACTGACTCCACCAGAGTGCCCCCTGAGGCGGAATGACTCCCTCGCCCTGGCCCGTGTCCACCTCCAGTCCTGTATGTCTGAGCCAGGCCCATTCCAGCCACAGCCCTCAGTGGTAATATCCTCACGGAGAACCCCGCCCCCCTCCCACTCCCAGCTCACCCTGAGATGGGAACAGCGAGCCTTCCCAGGCCCTGGGAAAATCCCCATGACCTCCAGTCTAGGCGGCTCAGAAGCCAAGAGCTCCAAAGCCAAGTCCCAGCTCCTGCCAGAGACCCAGCTGAGGCTAGGGGCCACCAGCCCAGAAGGAAAAGAACTAGATCAGACTTTGGTTTCAGAGCGGGAATGGCAGCAAGGAATCCCTCTCAGCTCCTTTGACATGGAGGTGGGCACAGACGTGTACACACACATCACCACCACCACGGCGGGGACTGCCATTCACCTCCGGGACCGTCTGTGCTCGTGAACCTTCACAGTAACTCAGAAAATGGGTACTATTATTATTCCTATTCAATGTATGGAAACTGAGGCACAGAGAGATGAGGTGGCTTGCCTGAGGCCATACCTTCAGTCCCAGAAGCTGGGCCTTCAGTCGCCTATTTTCTATTCAAGAGGACAAGGCACAAACAAAATCAGGCCCTGGTAAACCACTGGCCACAGGTGTTAATTCAGGGCCATTCACAGGACATTTATTCAGAGACAGGAAAAGGCAGAGTCCAGGCTGGCACTATTAAAGGCACAAGGATGTTAGGACTGCCCTGCCCTCCAACCTCCCTGTACGAGAGGGGGTGAGGGAATGGGACAAATGAGAGGTCACCAGGGCCTCTTAGAGAGGTGCAGATGAAAGGTTCCCGGAGGTGGGTACACTGAGCAGAGGCTGGCGGGGGGAGTGTCATCCTGGCCAGCAGAGATGAGTGGAAGGGCACGTGAGGCGAAGGGTCCAGCGGCACCAAAGGAAGGCAGTAAGCAAACACATAGTTCGCCTAGGGCACAGAGAGGGCCAGACCGCCAGGAGCTGTGGGAGAGGAGGCCGGAAGGATGGGATTTAAAGCTTCCTCAGGGAGGCCTTGAGTTCCAGGGTGAGAAGCTGGGAAGCCACAGTCGGTGCTTGAGCAAGGAGCACCTGGATTCTGATGAGGCAGGTGATAGACTCTATAAGCCATGAGGAGGGCAGGTGGCTTCTCCAGAGGGCACTACAGGATCGGGGTGGGACAAGCCACCAAGGGGCTGGGAGTCAGATGCCAGGAACTAGTGAGGAAAGGGGCCTAAAGTCCCCGTCCTGGATGCACAACACATGCACATGCACACTCCCTTGCCTCAGCCTAGTCCAAGCCTTAGGGACACAGTCTCCCCTGGACTAGGGACAGGGAGGAAGCCAAGCCTCTCGCTGTCCCCGCCAGGACCTCCCTGCGAGAGTGCGCTTGATCAAAGCAGGACCACTACAAGCTCCCCCAGCCTCAGCTCAAACTGGCCCAGCTACATTCCTCAGCTAATCTTCCCCAATCTGGCAGGCGGTTGCCTGAGCAACCGTCAGCCACAATTTGGGAAGGCAGGAGGATGGTTTATCCACATCCGGCTGGGCTCTGGACTGGGTGATGCAAGGGGCAAAGCAACCTCTGCAAGAGGAGCCAGAGTGTGGGAGGGGGTCCCCAGTGCAGGCCTGGTGTGGGGGTCTCCACCACTCCACTGCACGTGTTTCCATATGCTGAGGCGCGTGTGCGTCTGTGCGTGCGCGCCTGTGTGCGCATGGCGTTGAGAGTGACAGGCTGGTGCCGACTTAGAAGTACTCAGGCAGGACACCTGGATCTAATTCCTGCTCAGCCTTTATCATCGCCCCTGCCCCTGCTCCGGTGACCGCAGGCAGATGGCTTGCCCTCTCTGAACCCCTGCTTCCTCACTTATGAAGTGCAAATGGAGAACCAGGTGACCGCTGATTCCCCCTCCAGAATTCTGATTCCATTTGCGTGACTACATATGTGAGCATGAATTACTTGAAGGCAGAGACAGATACTATGGGGGAGAGGTGACAATGAGCATGGGTGTCTCCAAGTGGGGTCCCCCGGGGGAGTGTGCTGTGAAGTTGCGGGTATGCAGGTGCATACCTATGCACAGAGGTACATGAGCATATTCAGTGATAAGCGTGTGTCTATGGGGCAGGTAAGGTGCATGGTGGGGGGTGGGGAGTTGAGCACGTATGTGTGCGTGAGTGTGAGCACCACACACATGTGAGTGTCAGACTTTCCTCCCCACCAGACAGGGAATGGTACTCTGTGCCAACTGCAGCTGCCAGCCACCACCAGTGTTTCTGAAGACCCAGGTAAACAGAGTTTGTATGCAATGACATTTTTGTTACTTCAGTTTGTCAACAGAACATCCAGTTCCCAAGGGTGGCCCCAGGAGAAACAAAACTTCTCCCAAAAGATTACAAATCTAGGGCTAGGGTCACACCCAGTT